TGAAACGAAATTATGTTGTACGCTCATAAGTTTAAAGATCTCGAAAGTCCAAATATTTCGGATGAACCAGTGAGTGTAAATCGTTATTTTTATGAGGAAAACCCGTCTAGTTGTCATCACTGCAATTTACTTGTGGCTTTTCGTTACAAATATATATTGTGGTAAACGTCATCCTCTGAGTTCATGTGTATGAAGTCATGTTAATTGCTTTGATTGTGGGAAGATTGGAGATATTATGTCAGTGTGTAAGTTTAATTATCACTCCACTATCAGTGATAACAAAAGTAATCCTGACTTGATGGAGACACTTTATTTTGTTTATTATTTATTTTACTTAAACACATAAATATTGGTACAAGTAAGCACCAGATACATATGCTGTGAAACTGCCCAGGTGCCCAAACCGAAGCAGGTGGTCTTCTTAGGGAGCAACACCCCGAGCCTTTGACCTAAAGGTCTAATCCACAAGGCGGTGGATCATCGTGAGGAGATGCAGTCCCATGGTAGCCGGTGACCGACGATTTGTCCATACACCGTTTGTTCCTTCAGGATTCTGGATCCCATGTGCAACATTGGTTTGGAATCAGGGTGAAATTTCCGTGTCCACCAACCCGGTTAAAACGTCGGACATTCGCTTTTCGTCCTCTCAATTTCGTAAAGAACACCCGGCACGAAAAGGCAGTGATTAGGACTTCCCTGGCAGAGGCTATATACACGTGAAAGCATCTCGAGAGGGAGAGCGGACTCTCCCCACTCTCGGGAGTACCAGGGCATTCGGAGGCCGATAGAGTCACTTGACCCTAATAATTACATATTAACCTTATTTACAGCTTCATGTCAGTCAGTCAGCTACAACGTAGGACAAGACACATATATACATCGGTCCAAGTTGCCGTACCTCGTTAGCACAACAAGATGAACACCGGATACATAGAAGTAGTTAATTTAATGGTGGTAATATATAAAAGAAAGATTGTGTATAAGGATATAGTATAGGAAGGAAGAAAGTTATAAAGCAATTTTAATCTCAAGGTTTAAGGGAAGACAAAGAGTGTATATACCTACGCCATTGTGATCGATACTGAGCCATGTCACCTAGAGTCTCCAACCATTGGTTACAATAGTCGCGCAGACCCCAACCAAGTAGTCTGCATCTGCCAACATGGCTCAGACTAGAAGTTAGTGACTTCAAGCACTGATGCCACGTTTTGGTTTGGCCGCCTCTAACTTTCTTTCAACCATTGCCAATACTAAATAGCATAGTGCGTCGGGGTAATCAGTCAGTCACAACGTGGTAATCGGTGTTCAGGAATACGTAACAAGTGGCTTAATCTCAGTCGATGTATATTCACAACCTCATCAACTTATTTCCCATTATTCCCTGTGTCTAACCTCACTATTGCCCCCAAATGCCCTGGTACGGCCGAGAGTGGGGAGAGTCCGCTCTCCCTCTCCAAATGCTCTCATATGGCCACGCGAATATATAGCCTCTGCCAAGGAAGTCCTACTCACTGCCTTCTCGTGGCAGGGGTGTTGTTCACAAAAGTGAGAGGACAAAAAGCGAATGTCCGGCGCTTTAACCGGGTTGGTGAATGTGGAGGATCCACCTAGGGGAGTTGGAAAACCCTGATTCCAAACCAATGGTGCACATGGGTTCCAGTATCCTGAAGGAATAAATGGCGTATGAACCAACTGTTGGTCACCGGCTACCATGGGACTGCATCTCCTTACGATGCTCCACTGCCTTGTGGACTAGACCTTTAGGTCAAAGGCTCATGGTGTGGCCTCCTAAGAAAACCACCTGCTTCAGTCTGGGCATCTGGGCAGTATCACAGCCCTCACACAAATCGAATGAGATTTGTGAGGCGCATATTTATCTGGTGCTTCCTTGTACCAATATTTATGTGTTTAAATAAGTAAATAAAATAAATAACCTCACTATTACTTACCCGGTTATCCCAGCAGATGCGAGTAATATTTCTAAGACATCTGTGGTCAAATACTAGTAACTTACGAGTATCTTCTACTCTTAATGGCTATGTTTCACAGCCGTAAAGTAAAACAGAACGGACTGCTGTGTAGTATACTCGTTCCTTAATTGATAGACGGATATCTCGTCTTTGCCATAGGTCACGTAAGTTTGCAAAAGCCAAACGAGCTTTTTGAATCCGTGCTGAGATTTCGTAAGACACCAACCCATTAGGGCTGATCAGACTTCCAAAATAGGTGAAGTTGTCGACGCGTTCGACTACTTCACTCCCTATCCTTAGTTCAGGTGTTGACGCAGGCCAGTCCTGGACTAACAGTTTACATTTAGAGGGGTAGAAACGCATCCTAAACATCCCGGCATTATTACTCAGTTCTAACAGAAGACTCTGCATTTTGTCAGCGTCTTCACCAAACAGAACTATGTCATCTGTGTATTCCAAGTCGATAAGTGGACCTCCTGGTAGGAAATCAATTCCTGAAAATTCAGTCGGCGAGTTATTTCCAACAATAGGTCTGTAATGAAGTTAAACGAAAATGGGGATAGTGAATAGCCTTGTCGAACGCCACATGAGGTTGTAAAACGAGATTACAGTTCGCCATCTGTTAGTGTTCGAGTAAAGAGCCTTCAAAAGGTTTATGTACTTCTTAGGTACACCTTTCAATGACAGAGCCTCTCAGTCTACAGTGTCAAATGCTGCTTTCAAGTCAAGAAAAACTATCATTGTCTGACGCCGATAAGCATGTCTGTGTTCTAAAACCTGGCGAATAGTGAATATGTGGTCGATACAGCCACGACCAGATCTGAAGCTAGCCTGATTTTCTCGTGTTTGCAGTTCACGAGTCTTACTTAGGCGCCCGATAATTATTGAGGCAATTATTTTAAATGCTATGTTAGTCAGACTAATCCCTCTATGGTAATCGCAGGATGATTGTGGCCCCTTCTTATATTTTGTCCCAATGTAATTCATTTGAAATCCGAAAACTATCATATTTATCTAATGGTTAGCTTCCTAATATCATTGTTGGGACCAGGAGCATCATGTCCGTCATTTCAGTCAAAACGTTAGTCACTAGATTCCAGTGCTTTAAATGAACATATCAGAATATCTATTTTAACTATTACTAAGTTTATCACAGCCCCAAAACTTCACTCTTCTAGTGCTCAAGCAAAAAATGACAAATCCTCGAAAAAAGGTTTCTGCTACACACTTCAAGAATTGGAGAGGAAAATAGATGAATTTCTTAAGTATGTAAGTGTCAAACCCCATACAACAGAAGCAATGACGAAGCTGTTTAAGGAAAAACATTTGTATTCGATCATGTGTTGTTTACAGTTTGCTGACGTTTAAGGCTATCAATGAACCGATTTTTGACAATGCACTAGACGTTTGCTTAATAATGTTCACACATTTAAATGTATTCGTGTCTATCACACCCAAAGCGTCTTTTCAGAACAGGAGAGTCCTCATCAATACTACTAAATTATTTCTGGGTATTAGTAAACCTGATTTAAGAAAGGATCAGAAATACATTTAATGAACCTATGAAAAAAGTGCACAAGGAATTAAAAAAAATCCCAACATCCAATTTAGCAAAGATGAATGTGATATTTGTACATAGTAACTATTTCTCCACAAATCATTCCACTCCTAACTCGGAATCCAAATACAATATCTCTAAATATGATAACTGAGCTATTTCAAACTTCAATGCGGATTCATACGTAACTGCTATAGCACATGAGACAGTTCTAAGAATCAGTGGTTCATATATAGAACTCGACTACTTCTAACTAACACGCGAAACTATAAATGGTGGAAGCACTTGAGTACTGATTCATCGAGTACTAAAATACGACTACGCGAGTAACGTGACAAAACATCTATAAAATAACTGGGTGTGCATTTATTTTAAAGATTTGTTATCATTGACTTTGATAAGCTGAATAACTCAAATTACTGGATTACCTCCACTCTACAAAAATCCTTTTCAGTGATGGTGAACAAAATAGACAAAATATAACACCGCGATAAACATATGAAAGCTGGAATTAGTAGCACTACAATTATCCCCTTCAAATTCCACATAAAATTTCATCAAATAAACAAATGACAATGACTTTCGATGGCAGAATACTAAATTTCAGCATTGTCTCTCTATTTTAACTTTTAATAAGGCAATAACGCGATCTCATTTAGTGAATTCTCCACAATGGACATCACAGTATATGCCCACAATTTTACTATTCTGGTAATACTATAGCAAGTTAATTCAGTTTAAAAAAATGTTATTTAACACCACCAGTGTAATAAGAGGGTGAATGACAGAAGCTTATTAATGTATCTGGATGTATGAAAAATACTGTAAAACGGACTTTATATTAAAAATCTCTCGGTACCTGGTAACTAGAACGGGTAATATTTAATGTAAATTAAGGAGACATACCTTGAAAAGCTAGACTAAACAGTATTATTGGCACTCATAACTTTTTTTCAGTTCTGAACTCAACCTAACTGTATGTTAATTTACTTTTCTTTAGGTTGTAATTTTTACCATTGCCATTACAAAGAAATAACTATGTATCGAGAATGTCGACTCATTGTATCATCCGTAAAAGTTTGTTTTAAAGTCCGACTTGGATTTCAAACAACGAATGCGCAGCGTCAAACACGTATTTGTTCAAGATGCACTTAAAATGGTTTTCTTTGTTTCATCCTTAAATAATTATTTTATCATTACTTATTACTTATCATTATTATTTATTTATATAAGGCTTAAGCCTCATATGGGGTGACAGTGGACAAGGATAACTGACTATCCACGTCCAATTATGAACCTTTAGCCAGGAAATTAATATCCCTGGAGAATCATACTCTTGAAAAACGTTGAATAGAATACGGACATGTTTGAAGAAAAAAATTTATCAACATACTTGAGTGAAGATTTTTATCAAAAGAAATATACGACTTGCAGTAATAAAGAAAAAAAGTTGGTCACTCAGTAAAACTCGCCTGCCTCATTTTGATCTCCATATTTATTATTGTTGGCACTAGAAACAACTCCGTGATACATAGTAAAATAACTGAATTGTCGACATTAACTAGGTCATTTGTTGGTCACTCTACAGTAGAACAATCAAACAATGCAAGCACAACTCAGCGAATTCAATAGACCTACTTCAAAAATTTGGATTCCTAAAGCTAACTAAACTTTGTTCATTTTATTTCCACTGTCCCAACAACTATAGCTTTGTATTTGTGTTATATAATACTATGGCTTAATCCAAACGATCACAAATTAAATAAAACTTTATACTCATTGCCCAAGCCAGTGTACATTTGAACTCGTCGGCCATACAGCTAGCTTACTGACATTTAAGGCTAGTTGCTGGAGTCCTGAAACGAACATCAGCGTTAGGCGGAAGATTCACGCAGCTAACGAGTCCTGATTAAGATGCTTGACCCAGATAACAAAGATAGTCATCATCCGACTCTTTAAATAGCCTTTTTGTGGTGAAATGAAAGTCTTGAAACCTCCTTATTCGTAGCTAACTTCGACGAAATACAAAGATTTCTATGCTCCCTCTTTGACAGCAACTGAATGGTAAATAAGTTTTCATAAGGACAAAAATAAGAGGGTTTGACTATCGAATTATCTGAGGGCTTCCATTCAGAGTAAGTTGATAGAATATTCAAATTCGTCATACCATCTCACGCCAAATTCCGTGGTAATTTTTTGAATTTTTGTGTTATCAATATCATTTCCAAGACATAAATGCTGATATTCCGAGATTCGTCAATTTGTTTCCAACTACAGAATGGAAAACACGGTTATCATGAGCCCTAAGTGCATAAGAATACTAGCTTTCGTAAAACCAATGCTCGTGAAGCTGATCATATATGTCTTAACACAACTCAGAAAGTCTGACTAAAAATAACCAATTCGATTCTCGCACATGATATCGAAAGATGAGTTATAATAAGTATAATTTTTCATCAGTTTACCTTGAAGATGTTACAAGTATCGGGAAGTTTGACAGTGCTCTAACCGATAAGACCTATTATAAATCGTACCCATCAAGTGAAATCAAAGTCAGAAGAGAGGTGATTTGAAAATGTGTTTGCTAGGCTATAATATCGTGAATCGACTGATCTAATCTGGCTAGCGATTGCATGAGATGTTGAATACGTCGCTCCCACTCGTGATCTGGTGTGGATGCGCGACCGAACGCCTTCAGCTAGTTGAGTTCATTAAAACTAATGTAATTAGCATATAACGTCGAACACTTAGAGAGCTATTGACTTTGTAGATTTATTTACCGCTACCACCTCACACTCTACCCCGGTAATTCATTCTAGGTACATGGATTAGATTATACGAAACTGTGTACAAACTCTACATGCGACAATATGTAGTAAGATAGCCTCTAGAATCTGAAAATAAGGTACATGAGAAAATTTAACATGAAGAGGTCAGTAATGGTGAACGCGGGAGCGATTGATCAGCAATTCATGGCTCGGCCTTGAAGGCGTGGTTATTCTGTGTAACGTATTCCTATTCATATTTGTTGCAGCTGGTGGTCGACTATTATTATTGCGTCACCATCTGGTCCTTGCTGATTGTTATGACGGAATCACTTATATCGTCTACTCATAAAAACGTTGATCAACCGCAATTTCCACGAGGCTAAAGTAACAACACCAAGAATGACTCAAGTGGATATTTATTAATCTAGAAACACGACAACGACTAGGACCTCAACCGAAGCATTTAACAATGAAGAAGACACGACGAATTAATTCAACTCATTAGATGACATGGCTCAGCCATGCAGGCGTCGTCATTCTGTGTAAATAAACTCTTCTATTCATATAAAATACATTGTTCTATCTCGTCTGGATATGTCCTACATCATATGTTTGTGATATTATGATAAGACGAGTCAGTGTAGACAATGATGTGACATCCACGTAAGGTCTTACTTATTGGGTAGTTACATCATGACAAAACTACGATTTCGTGAATAAGTCAATTTTTATTGTTAAGGTGATTAACGTGCTAATGCAGATTCAAGCCATTATTCGACGACTGTGTGACAGAACTACCACAATATTTTCGCAACCACATTCACACCAGCCGTTAAGAGGATTGAGTTAGGCTACTCTTCCTTCAATCCTATGGTGAATAGATAATGAAGACTCAGCCTGTCACAGACCATTTGAAATATTCACAATATTGTCGAAGGTAACGGAAAATCTAATCAGCAAGTTGATGAAGGAATATATAGATAAGAACGACATACTCTACGAAGCCCAACATGAGTTCAGTAAAGTCAGGTCCTAAGCGTTCAATTTACTCAAAGTATGGGATAGCTGAGAGAACTACTGAGACCACAAGATACCGACTAATGTAATTCTACTGAGACGATTCTGCGAATTTCTCGCAATAAACATGACAAGCTGAGGAAAACATTACGAAGCATTTTATCCAATCAGCGTTTGATTAGAAGTTTGGCTAGAAATATCACGAAAATGAAAAGTCACATGTAGAGGTTCGGATTGACTGATTACTTTATTTCTACTACGTTTAGAATATTCTAGAATTTTCAGGAAAATCAAAGGAATTCTAAAATACTATAAAAACCCTATATTCTCTGTAAATAAATGAACCATTGGAGTAAAGTGCTTCCTGTATATTTTGTGCCTTTTTTCTCGTGTTCAAGTCGCTGTGTAGTTCTAGCTTGGGGGTACAAGACTAGCTTAGGATCCGAGTATATCGTTCAATCAACAAGACTTATCAAATTCTCCTCTATTTCGCAAGTGCATTTGACACAGCAACACGTCTACTTCCTAAAATTAAGGTTGCAAAGATGGGTTTAGTTGACCCTTTGCTATCCTGGCTCCAAAACTACTTACAGAGTAGGATGTTCCGTAGCGCATGAGAAGTGGAAGATCTAAATATCAGAAGTTGCAAAAGTAACAATTTTAGAACGACTATTTAGGTAAAATTAGCTCAGCAACACTGTTCTTTGCAGACGGCGTAAACATTTTGCGGTCCCCAAAATGATAATAGGATTCATTCGAGCTTTAAAAGGACTGTATAATAATTGAGGTATAGGGAGGAAATAAAGAGATTAATCTTAACCTGCCAAGATTTAATCACATGAATAACCTGCCTCACTTGACATAAACTAATTATATCCTACCTGAAGATCGGATCTATAATAAATCTTCAGAGCGTGATCTCGGGTTCCTAAACACAGGAAGCCGAGGCACTAGTTCAAATTACACAGAGGATGCTGCCAAGACAACTTGCATTCACCTCCAAATTATTCCTCACAATTGTAAACGTACACACAGACCCACATTAAATTCAACAGTATCGTTGCGGTCCCTGTGTAAGCATTTGTAGAACATCAACGTTGATGATCTATGTCTAATGATTGGAGGCCTACTCGAGTAAGACGGGAACGGTGTAACGAACAAGCTGACTTCAAAGTCACACCTCGCTACCAGCACCTTACGTGGATTACCCATTGACATATGAAGGGACCATGGACACTCTGAAGGCTGTGCTACACAAGGGATGTTATTACAGGAATATATTAGTTAAAGTAGATACTAACGAAGTAGAACCACTTCCGTCTGGGCCAGTCCATGGCGTATGATTAACTGATGCGCGTTGATTAACCTTGACCTTCACAGGGATCAATGATCTGATCGATATTCAGTGACCCAACTGCTAGATGATTTGGCTAAGGTACAGTTACATTTCACTGGCCCTTCACTATTATATATCTGATAGATTATCAATATATCGAGGATTGACTGATCTGGAGATCTCAGGAGAAGTTGAGCACACCGTTCCAACTCGTGATCTGGTGCGGATTCATGACCAAGCACCTTCAGTCAGGCGAGTCCATTAAAACTAATCTGGTCAGCATCCAATGTCGAACACTTACAAAGCCATTGAGTTTGGGGATTTATCAACCGCTACAACAAATTGCCAACTATTTATTTATTCTTGACACGATTATCTCTTAGCGCTTGGATAAGAATATACTATTATCACATTACAAACAACCAACTACTGCCTGATGACGTACTGGATACTGGTAACTGGAGAACCTAATGCACGGGAAAAAAATATTCATTCAAACGACAAGATTTACAAATCCATAAATAATTGCCAAACCTACTAGAATAAGTTGAATGACTGGACTACCACTTATTGAACGCAAAAGTTCATGAAACTGTACCGAGACAACCAGATGTGAGAGAAAAGAAATCTATTGCTTAAAACAAGCCTGTGACAAAGACACTGGATATATTAGATAATGGAATTCATAATTTCTATCTGGCAAACTCTGATGCCTGAAGCTGCTTACTGTCTGAAGGTCGTATTTAGGCCTCTTAATGTGCGAAAAACTGTCAGAAGACGATTGTTTGAAGTTTAGTTCCGAAGTCATGGCGAGATTATAATCTAAAGACAAACCAATTGGGTATAAGGTAACAGATTTCGGATTTTGGCGCGAAATTCGCTCTTCTGTTTAGGTTAGTAGAGTTTTGCATTATAGCTTAAATCAGTTCGTGATCAAAAATCTTAAATCCAATTCGTAACTTTAAGAATCAACTGTTAATCGTAATTCGAATCCCTCACCCTCTTTCACTACCGTCATTTGGTTCTGGTGATCAGGTATACACTCTCAAGGTCATTTCAGCGTCTCTCAAAGGTCGTCTGTAAATTATATTGTCGACAAAAAGTTCGAGGAAATGTTACAAACCCCATAGTTTTGGAAATGTCCACAGATTGTTTGGCGAGACTAGACTATACGGACGAGACAATCAGAAGCTTTCGCGGGTTTTCAAGGTCACGGCGCTAAGTTCGGTACTCGATGCTTACGTACGATCGGTTTACAGCAGATTTTAGCGAAGACGTAATAATTCAACGTCTACAAGAGAAAGGATTATTAAGAAGTTCCTATACTTGTGACTGTGGTAGTCAAATGAGCGCTGTACGGTGTGCAGACTGCCGTGATGACATTATCTTTCGATGTTCTTCATGTTGGAAGAAAAAATCAGCTCGAACAGGAACTTTTTTCGCTCGATCAAAATTAAGGTTAAGGCAAATTATGATCCTTGTTGCAAATTGGATTATAAGAGCACCAGTTGCACTTGCTGCAACGTTTGCCGACGTAAGTGAAGCTTCGGCAGTTCAGTGGTACGACAATTGCCGAGATATATGTGAAAAAAAAATGACAAGCGTACACGAATCGTGTGGAGGAGTAGGGAAGATCGCTGAAAAAGACGAAACAGTTGCAAGGAAACGAAAATTCAAACGTGGCCGTAGTAGCCACATGAACGAGATCCTGTACCGTATACACTATGATTTTAGAACTTCTGAACCTATATCTAACCTTGATAAGTTTTTGAGTCATGTAAAAGAAGAGTATCCCCTTTAATTTTGAGTTTTGTATAATATATTTTTCTGTATACTAGCTGTCTTATGATTGGCTAATATTTCTCAAGGTCATTTAAGATTCGTTCAAAGGTCGTCCGTATAGTTTTGTGTCGCTTTTTCCCCTCATCTTTCATGCCTGTAGTAAAGCATATGGAAAAATTAAAAATGATTACAATCATATACTGACGTTGAAGTTTGACGTAAGTTTGTGGTGGTAGGACCTCGAAGTGGTCAAAATATTTTGTACGAGTTTTCGGAATTCCTACTTTTGTGGTTCAGAAAAGTCCAGGTCTCTACAATATTATGATTTAGTCTAATTTCAATTGTACATCCATTTTTATGTCCACATTGTGTGTATCAGTTTAGAAGTAGTAGGCCTTACGATTTGAAGTCTTACGCTACCTGTTACAAAATGCCTCTCTAGCAAACCTTACACTGATAACATGTAAGCTCATTTTCGGCCAGTTTGACGGTGTAACTTTCCACATAATTTTCAACAGTTTTATTCGTCCCCATTTAGAGTACGGAAACATAATATTTCCTCCAAAAAGATAAGGACACTCTGGAGTGTATCCAACGCGGAGCCACGAAATCAGTTCGGGGACTCAAATTCAAGCCTTACGAAGAGCGCCTCCAGTCACTTGACCTTTACCCATCAGAGTATAGGCGTCTTAGAGATGACCTAATGGCTTGCAGTATTCTTAACACTTCTGGTCATCCCCTTAAACATTTACTTAAGCTTAATCACAATACTAACCTAAGGGGTAACACGCAAAGACAGGAGGCTCAACATAGCAGAACGGACTGTACACACAACTTCTACTCCTTAAGAGTTGTCAAATGCTGGATTTCGCCACCGACTGAGCTAGTCCAAATGACTTCCCAGGAGTCCTTTAAGAGGAAACTTGACTTATTCCTAAGGACTAAGGATAATGTCTTATTAGTCTTCAGTAATAAGGATAGTAGGTTGATGAACCTGTGTTAATCCTGACAGATTTCCTTCCAGTGAAGTTCCAGCTTCTTTTTGAAAATGTTCACTGATGGTGCTGATACCACTTGTTCTGGTAAAGCGTTCTAGTCATTGATCACTCGATGAGAAAAACGGGACCCCACCTTTAGTTTATTAGATCGCGGTTTCAGAACCTTCTTGCTATGACCCCGGAGATTATTAGTGCTGGAGGGAGCAAAAAGGTAAGACATATTAACACCCAGGTCATAATTAAAGATACGAAATGCCAGTATAAGGTCACCTCGCGTCCTACGATAAGATAAGGGGAAAAGGTTTAGACGCTTTAAACGCTCATCGTAAGGGAGTTTAGAAAGACCCTTTACTAATTTTGTCCCTACACGCTGGAAACGCTCAAGCAATTTAGTATCCTTTATCAGACAAGCTTAATTACAATACTAACCTAAGGGGTAACACGCAAAGACAGGAGGCTCAACATAGCAGAACGGACTGTACACACAACTTCTACTCCTTAAGAGTTGTCAAATGCTGGATTTCGCCACCGACTGAGCTAGTCCAAATGACTTCCCAGGAGTCCTTTAAGAGGAAACTTGACTTATTCCTAAGGACTAAGGATAATGTCTTATTATGATTTACAAGTTTCTTTTTTTCCTCTACTATCCTTAATATACTCAGGTTCCTGGCTGGAGGTATTGGTGATCCACTGCTACAAGACACGGAAGCCGCTTAAGTGAAAGCTTCTATTCCATCCACAACCATTTGAACCATATACTTACGCTTCAGTAAGTGTAAGTATACGTTGGCTCACGTATCTACGTTAGAGTAAAACTAAATGTGGTTAGATTCAGTGGAATGTCTCGGTCGTTGATAAGAACATGTAGTTGATGCATTTGACATCTGATGGGTTATGCATATATATATATATATATATATATATATATATATATATATATATATATATATATATATATATGCCCCCAAATGCCCTGGTACAGCCGAGAGTGGGGAGAGTCCGCTCTCCCTCTCGAAATGCTCTCACATGGTCACGCGAATATATAGCCTCTGCCAGGGAAGTCCTACTCACTGCATTCTCGTGTCGGGGGTGTTGTTCACGAAAGGGAGAGGACGAAAAGCGAATGTCCGACGCTTTAACCGGGTTGGTGGACACGAAAATTCCACCCAGGGGAGTTGAAAAACCCTGATTCCAGACAAATGATGCACATGAGATCCAGTATCCTGAGGGACCGAATGGCGTATGAACCTTTTGTTGGTCACCGGCTACCATGGGACTGCATCACCACACGATGCTCCACTGTCTTGTGGATCAGACCTTTAAGTCAAAGGGTCGGGTTGTGGCCCCCTAATAAAACCACCTGCTTCGGTTTGGGCACCTGGGCAGTATCACAGCCCTCAAACAAATCAAATGAGATTTGTTTGGCGCATATATATCTGGTGCCTCTTCGTACCAGTATTTATGTGTTTAAATATATATATAGAGATAGAGAGAGAGAGAGCAAATTAACTCACCTAGTAATCTGTGGTATCATTTCGTGAGAGCAGTCAGTTATTTAACGATCAAACGAAAAATTGAAAAGTAATCATGTTTTTATTATTCTTGCAGAAATAGCTTCATGATTATTTTCAATATTGTCTTTGTTGCATCGATAAAGTTATCATCAAACGACATCTTTCTTTTTATATGCGTTCAGATATCTTACTTTATGTAAATCCATTGATGTTCACAGTCTTATGTAATTACAGCATATATTGTTTGTGATTCTGTGGATCATTAAGGTTCGGTTGCCTACACTATTTTCAGCTCATGAAGAGATTTAACCGGGTGGAGTAACAGAAGTAACGATTTAATTACTTACTAGCTTGATTTATTTATTTGAACATATAAATATTGGTACAAAGAGGCACCAGATATATATGCGCCAAACAAATCTCATTTGATTTGTTTGAGGGCTGTGATACTGCCCAGGTGCCCAAACCGAAGCAGGTGGTTTTATTAGGGGGCCACACCCCGACCCTTTGACTTAAAGGTCTGATCCACAAGACAGTGGAGCATCGTGTGGTGATGCAGTCCCATGGTAGCCGGTGACCAACAATAGGTTCATACGCCATTCGTTCCCTCAGGATACTGGATCTCATGTGCATCATTTGTCTGGAATCAGGGTTTTACAACTCCCCTGGGTGGAATTTTCGTGTCCACCAACCCGGTTAAAGCGTCGGACATTCCCTTTTCGTCCTCTCAATTTCGTAAAGGACACCCGCCACGAAAAGGCAGTGATTAGGACTTCCCTGGCAGAGGCTATATATTCGCGTGGCCATGTGAGAGCATTTCGAGAGGGAGTGCGGACTCTCCCCACTCTCTCCTGTATCAAGGCATTCAGGGGCTACTAACCTGTATATCAACTCGTGTCCTTATAGAGAAGTCTTTATAAGTGGTTTTTATTATATTGGTAAATTTAAATGAGGTAATCCAAATTGTTAATTTTGATGGTTTTCTTTTTTCGATTGCGTTTTCAGCTTATCATTCAAAATATGTCACCTCAGATGTTCTTTCATTGCTGTTTGTTTTATGTGATTGTATGTTACAATCTCCTGAAGGTGGTTGTATATTTTGTTTCTAAATTTAGAACGCTTTAAAGCATCTACATCTTTATCATGTTACGAATATGTAATTGGTTGGCAAGATGCAGTTTATCACCATATCACTTCTCATTGAGATTTCATTCTAAGAATCAGTGGCTTTTTAATGAATGTGACCTGTCTGAAATGGCTGTTCTTGGAAGTGGTCCAGGTGGTCAGTCAATTAACAAGACTGCCAATTGTGTTGTCTTAAAGCACATTCCCACAGGTATCGTGGTGAAGTGTCAGGTATTTTTAATGCTTACTTTTCTTTGAACGTGTTTTTTTAATAAGTGCACCGCTAACATGTTTTTACATGTAACTGGGGGAAAGTAAAACAATCTATTGAGTTCTAAACATACGATGGCCTAAGTTAAATGAGCCATGTATCATAAATTAGAATTTAATTCACAATATGTCGAGATAACCTAAAAGAAACAAACTGCAATGAAATCATGATATCGAGACTTTCATTGAATTATAAACTGTTCAGTTTTGTACGAAAAAGTATACTTGATTGCTGTCCTCAAAACGATTATTTCATAACATTTTGTGTATAACCCAAACACCCTCGATACGATGATGATTGCTCCTCAGAAGACGAAACTGAGTAGATATTAGGGAATAAAAGTCAGATAGTTCATACATTCGTATTCATGAGTTTGGTTCCAAACTATATGGTCCGATGTATTTAGTATAAAATAATAGTTGTCTCCTGAAGCCAACTCAGAAAGCCGGTATTGTCCTATTACTCATATCAATAGTAAATGACTTAATAGACGGGTGCCATATTACGATCTAGTCACACTTTCTGTCCATTTCCAACATTCGCCAGTGTAACAACTCCAGTTAGATATGACTAAGATTATACAATACAAAAAAGACGGATTAATGACTTGCCATCATAATACCTGTTGATTCAAGTACTTTCTAGTGGTCACTGAATAACGCGTTGACTAGTTTCGTATTGTAATCGTGTATTTCCTTTAGCTGCGTCAGGTAGCATTTCAGTCTCATCTATTTTATTGCTTTGTTAACTGATTCTCCAGCTACCTATTTATTGTTGGATTGGTTTACGGTCACTCAGAAAAACATTTTCTCTATCCAAGAGTTATTACTTAAAAGCCATTAAACCAGTATGTATAATTAATGCTTTTTAATCGTCCCTTGTCATCGTATCAGAAACTAAAGTGAGGTAATTGTCCGTAGTGCCCTGAAGTTTCGATGATTTTTGTATTATCGATTCGTGTTAAAAACTATCTTTTAAATAGTATTTCACTAAGCTTTCGAATCTGTGATCCCTGATTATTTGTTTATGCATACAGACATCGTCACCCAGACTATCATGAAATGGTGCATAGAATGTAGTTATACGATTCTAAATACATCAAAATAGGGTAAACAAAAGACAACTCAGATTTATATACCTGACGAAGTTTTCTTTCTACGTAGATAACAACATAGCAGGACAGACCGCCCTTTCTTATCAGATATCGAGCTAATGGATCTCGTTACTTCTCGGACCACATTTAAAGGGCTCAATTTATTGATAAATATAAACCTGATACACCCGTTCTCACTTCCAAATGCAACATAATTCTTGTTTTCAGAGGATAATCTGTTTTTAAAAAAAGTAATCTTCGAAGACTCTCATGTTTATGCTTTGGAGATAAGTTAGTAAGTAGATTATTTTCGCAACGAAATAAAATCATTTGGTGAAACGTCCGAAACCAATGATCTCCGGATTTCCGTTTGTCATAGTATAGAACTCCTTAACAGTGCCCACTCATGACCACGCAACAGGGAATAAAACCCAGTCCCTTCGGTCTCGTGAGGATGCTAGACCTCTAAACCACTAAGCCTGTTATGACTTGACCTAGCTGTCGCCAATTTGTTATGTTTTTGACCTAGGCGGTAGCCAATTATTATGACTTGATCAAGGTCGTCGCTGATTCGTTATGACCTTACGAATTTAACAAGGACGTAATTCGCGTAAATTATCCACCAATAGAATACGCCTTCTACGACCTTCACACTGTGACAATGACGTTCGATTAGTATGAGTAATCTAGCGTCCTTATTGGTCCTTATCCGCCTAACCCGTCCACTTCAGTCCAAAACACCAATAGCAGCCTCGGCAATACGAATCGTTTATTTCAAGCATACTTTGTTTATATATCAGACAGACAGGCCACATTATACCATATAATAGAAAATAATATTTGTACAAAACCAGGCCAAATGAGGCTGTAAGCGTGGGAGACAATAATAAATAAAACTGAGTATAACATAGGGACAGTAAATCATATAGTAATAATCAGTAGGTCAAAATAAAGCTTAGATAATCTAGTTACCGAATAGTTATACAATAAGAATGATAGTCCAATAGTAGGTCCTGCAAGTTACCCGTACTTATGTCTTCGCTACTACATAACAAAGCCGGAATCCCATGACGTACAAACCTAACTCCAGTCAGTTTGTGATACTGCGCGACTATTTTCCATTAACTTCGGTGGGTACTTTCGTCGAAAGGGAATTTCAGGAGTTCTGATGAAAAGCTGTGACCAGCAGAGTCCAACCGTGTCGGGTCGTGATGAGTTCCACAATTTTTATTTGTTTTTTTGAACACATAAATATTGGTACAAGGAAGCCCAGATATATATGCGCCACACTTGAACAAAATGGCTGTCCTGTGCTTCCAGGTTTTCAATGGTTATATTAATTAGATCGGTTCGTGATTTCAATAAAATCTGACAATCTCCACAACTTCACCGTGGTAATGCAAAACGAGTGTTTGATGCTCATTACTTTTTCAAAGTGAAATTTACTATTTTCCTGTTCATAGTTAATTTTTCTATAAAGTTTTTCTTTTGTTGTTATAGGATAGTAGAGAACTAGAAAGAAATCGTATATTGGCTCGTCAAAGATTGAATGATAAATTAGATGTGCACTTTAATGGGGAAAATAGCCGAATTGAACAACTTCGTCATCGAGAGAAATTGAAAGATCATCAACTTTATCTACGATCTAAAAAACGTCTTGCTGCAAAACAAGAATTTAAAAATATTGTAGGTTTGACAAAAAACAGTTTGTTAGTTCAGAATGATGTGAATATCGGTTTAAAAGATGACAGCTAGTTATTTGAATGACTCTTTAGATTTATCACTAATCCTAATAATATTTCCCTGTGTTGATGTGATTTGGCAATATGAACTGATGCACATATGCGTAAGATTTTATTTTAGTTATGACTGACTATAAATTTTCACCTGTTAAATTTATGTGGTTACCTTATCTTTTGTACAGTGTTGTAAAAGTTAGAGAACACTAAAGACTTGCTTTCTGTTGTTGTCATTAATCAATTTTATTTGTCAGGAAAAAAATCCTACCTCACCTTGTATCACGCAATTAAATCATCTGAGTAGTAATTGTATGTGTTGAATAATATACAAATAGTATAAGTACTGTTAAATTTTTTATTTTACATTAATTTTCATTTCTTTATCTACTTTTTGAATGGATGAAACCATTTATTTAAGCAAAATGACTTTCAAAATCAAGTACACGTAATCGCATTACTATCATTAAAGCAATATTTTCACCTTTTTTTAAAAACAGTATCAGTCTTTTTTATTTTAGTGGAGTGAATTAGCTGGAGGTATGACTCCAAGAACTTATTCCATTTTTGGTGCTGTCATGTCGCACGATCAGTAGATCCCGTATTCATGTTTAATGTATTCATACAAAATATGCTCGTATTTTTACACATTGTGTTCACTGACAATCGCAGTCGCCTAGATGTTAACGAACTCGTAGAATAAAGTAATTTATGAGCATTGTACTTACTGGATCCCTCGTAAGCTCGAAGTATGCGGATTTACGTGAAGCGTTCGTGCGATTGAATAAGCTTTACAATGATGAGCTTGATGCCCTTCAACGTTCGTTCACTTTTTACAGCTTGAGCAAGCAACAAACATAAATCATAGATTTAGGTAGCTGAAGATTAAATGTTATCAATTTTTTGGAAATCCTCTCTCTAGTTTTTATCTATCGTTTAAATAATTGAATCATTATAAAATCGCACATTATTCTTGAATTTATAAACCGTTGAGATTCTTTTGAAAGAGATGAAATCAGCTTATGAAATAGATAAGTACTTAGAACTTTACATGCAGATCAAAATTGGGTTAGTCTGCAATGTAGTCGCCGTTGAGTTCGGTTACTTACACCCTTTGATTATCATTAAACTCGTGAGAGCTATTCGAATGAGTGAACAGGGACTCAGAGACTAGATTTTCATTGAAACTCGTTTGTATGCTGGATGCCCGACCATCGCTGCTACCTTGACGTGGCGGTCAGGCTTGTTTATCGTGATGAACCAATCGAGCTATACTGGCTGAAACAATCGTTCCTCAAGGTCCTACCATGCCAGAGAGGTCGGTTAAAGAGCGGTAAGACTAAAAGCAGCAATCCCAAGGTCCGAAGGCGAAGTCGTACTGCTGACTGTACAGAGGTGTGACGGCAGTAAGGTGTTTCCTTCAAACAACCAGCATAACGGCGATGCTGTCTTCTCACAAGAAGGGTTGGGATTAGAAAAGCTCGGCCCTAAAAATGCACACCTCGCTGTATCTCACGGATTTCCGCCTCCGGCGGTATGGTCCTTTGAAGAACGGAGCCAACACGTGAAAAATCCCCCACAAAAAGGCCGTGCATGACCGGCCTCAAGCAGTTGTCCCTTGGACACTGCGGTCACTCTCTCAGGTCATTAAGACCACTTCTAACCCAACTTCCTTTTCAGGTCCCTCAAGAAATACCCTTCCATGGTGTGGGCAGCCGGTAAGTGATATAAGCCCTCATATCCGTAACTGCACACGAGACCAAGTTGGTCACATTCAAATTCTTCCTACGCCTCCTAATAACTCTCTTATCTCCACGACTAACCCTTCTCACGTCCTTTTATCACCTCGCACCGCTAGGACTGTGTGCTGAATGGGTCTGTAGTCCTTGTCTACACAGCTTCCAGCTCCAGCCCAAACAAAGACTGGTCTCACGACAATTTATTCATACCTCTTCAAAAAACCAATTAAAGATCAGATATAATTGGTCACATACTATGGGCACTTTAAAACACCAAACATGTAAGATTAGCTTTTCTGTCACGGATGTACTCTGATAACTAAACAATCGAAGCACGAAGAGAAACTTTGGCTTGGAAGTCCCCGATATCAGCCGAAAAATGGAGACAAATGAAATGTACCAGTCATCGATGCGGACGACTAATTGGTATCACCCCTCCCGAAGCTCGTATATCAATCATAACTACTCTAACGTAAGCTTGTGCCCTACTAAAAGGTCTTCCCGACGTTGACTCGAAGAAAAGTGTATTCAGGAAGGAATTAGTCAGGGAATTAGAAAATTATGTAAGAGGTTCTGATTTCAAATCCACTTCGAATAGTAGTAATGAATGCCAAAAGCACAATTGGAAAGGTCAGTAGAGAATTCACATGTAGACTAACAGCATAATTATCATAAGTTTCGAAAAACCTTTAAAGCTTACAAATAAATTGTGAAGTTCACAAAGCAGTCATATTATTTTTTTATAGATTTCAATAAATGTATATATCCTAGGAAATATGACAACCATGAAGCCTTGAATACCCTTCAAGTACTTTTAATCCTTATGTCATGCACTTCCCTATACATTAGAATACAACTACGTTTAGTTACTTCTACATGTTGAAAGTAATCATTGTTGAGTATCATATACGTTTAAATTACTACTAAATGGGAATGAAGTCATTTTAATTAATTGAGAAATCTCAATAAGTGAAATAATTATGCATGCATGAAACAATTTAATCTAAAAATGGATATACAATATAAGAATGAATATGAGTTTTTTGATTAATAAGAAAATACAATTTAAGAAATCATGTATTAAATCTCATTGATAAAAACAATTAACATCATGGTTTAATGATGATGATGAGAGGTACGAAGTAGCGTTAACGACGAAGAGGGAATAAACAAGTCATTCACAACCATGAAATTTAGATAAATATCAGTGATTCTAAATATTGACCGCACCATCAATGTAAATAAAATGTTATAGAAGACACATTGTATTCATTTGAAAATATTTACTGTTCAATCGACCAATTTGTATTCTGGATCATATTATAACAACAAAACAAAATTAGGAAGGAGTGCTAGTACATGGTAAGTGTATACAAAAACTGGATAAAGTAATTCATATTATACTGTTCATGGAATCATTTCGGCTGAAGTTCTACTGATCATATTTGAAATCCTTATATTTTGTCGAAGAGCTGGAATGTGATAAGCAGTTAAATGGTCTTGACTGTATGATGAATAAAATTGTGGTAACATTCTATGAGGGTTAACTTCCAACCTTTCCTCGAAAGACCGTAAATGTGTATGACGAAAAAAGCATGGATTTGTACAACGATTAGTTTTTTCTGTTGATTTATTCACTTTGCGCAAAGTACCGTTTGCACTATTACTATCACCATTCATACTATGAGCGACCGTTTGACCTGGTTTGTTATACGGCGTTATGAAGACCTTTGCATAAGGATTTTCCCCTGATTTAGGCTTGAAGTATTGATCATCAATATCCAAGGTACCATCAGACTCATCAGATATTGAACGAGGACTACGTACCGAATGGTCAATCGGGCCTGATTTCGGAATACAGTGAAAGGAGTCTCGTGGAATAGAATAAGTAGATGGGAATCTAAAAGTAGACCCAGTTACGTCATCCTTTGAAAGATATAAAGGCAATTGATTTATAGCAAATAACGACTCTCGACTGGCAACCTGACGTGTTTTGTTCATATTTGAAGTGTTAAAGCGTTTTAAATGATGAAACGAATACATAGAAATAATCTAAAAAAGAAAACAGAGATACATAATAAAATTTGAAAGTACATCCTCTTACCAAGTATTGAGGTATTTGTACCAGAACAAATAATTTAAAAAATAAGGATTATAACCGAGCTGAGTCTAGTGAGTTTCGTATTATTAATTTAGTACTTAGCCACAAGATAAAGTACACAGAAGATAAGGTACGTAATTATTCAGTTATTAAACTCACTGAACATTTATATCTCTCGTCGCCTCGGACTTAGATGAACAGATGTGAGTTGAAGGACATTAGACTGAATTTACCGTAAACCTAGTTCTCTTTACCACAAGTAATTATTATTGCATAAATAAATATTTTGATTGACTAATAATCATCAAACTGTAATCTATATACCTGGTTGAGTAATTGACTTCAACACTCAGATTAATTAATACATAATTGTACTCTAAATAGTCCAAAACATATACTTGGAAAAATTATCAAGAATGACAAATTTCTAGTCATAAGGCGTTGGTTTTACATGACTGTCATATAGTGAATTCAAGTAGACTATTAAGTGATATCTTTTCAAGCATCAACTCCGCCTGTAGCTCTTGAGTTACTGCGGGTTCCAAGCCCGGGTAAAGGAAGGGGGTTGGGCATGTCGATAGCGACCCCATCCCGTAGAAAAACTAACTCGTCAAAAAACGTTAACCAAAAAAAAATAATTCAAACCATTTAAACTCTGCCCCGGGAGTTGAAGGAACAATCATGACGCCTCATAATGAAAGCCGATGCCCCTTCTAACAACCACAGCAACACTCATTATAGGTACATGGAACATCCGGACAATGTGAAAGACCGGGGAGACCAGTCAAATAGCAGTGGAAATGAGGAGATACAAATTGGCAGTACTTGGAATCAGCAAAACCCATTGGACACAAGCTGGACAATAAAGGCTAGGTACGGGAGGGATGCTACTGTACTCTGGTCACGAAGAGGAACATGCTCCACAAACTCAGGGAGTAGCTCTAATGCTGTCCAGAGAAGCACGAAATGCACTTCCAGGATGGGATCCAGGATAATCAAAGCATCATTCAAAACAAAGAAGGAGGGGATTACAATGAATTTTATGCACCCACAAACGATAGCAACGACGCCGATAAAGATCAGTTCTATGAGAGGCTGGGATCGATCATAGTGAAGTGCCCAGGAAAAGAACCTCACCATCCTGATGGAAGATCTAAACGTCAAAGCCGGGGTGGACAACACTGGATATGAAGATGTAACTGGACGACATGGACTAGGAGGAAGAAATGAAAATGGTGAGAGATTTTCAAATCTATGTTCATTCAACAAACTGGTTATAGGAGGCACAATATTCCCACACAAACGCATACACAAAGCTATATGGATCTCGCAGGACCACACCACACCACAGAGAACCAGATAGATCATTATTGTATCAGCGAAGAATTCCGAAGGACAATGGAAGATGTGAGAACCAGGAGAGGAGCTGAAATAGCTTCAGATCACCACCTGGTTGTGGCCAAGATGAAACTGGAGCTAAGGAAACACTGGACAAATGGACAAATAGCATTACAAAGGTTCAATAAAACCTTCCTTAGAGATACTGACAAGCTCAACGAATTCACGATAACTCTCAACAATAGGTTCCAAGTTTTACAGGATCTGAAGAAACAAGAAACTACGATGGAGGAAAACTGGAAAGGGATCATGGAAACATTAATTTTAATTAAGGCCGAAAAGCAAAAATACATGGGCGAACTAACGACGGCGGAAAAAGCTGCAAGAGAAGGGAATATCATATATATATATATATCGCACTGATATTCATTTCAATTTTCTCAGTTACCGATGCTTGTCATTCAATACTATGTCAAAATTCAATACGAATATAGTCTTAAAAAAGTTGATGCGAACCTCTGTATTGAAAAAAGTTCCCATTACTCTGTTTCAATTAATGTTCTGACTTCTTTCAAATACCAAAAGAAAATTTCTATACTACAAGCAGATCGATAAGTGCTGGTGTAAATACCAAATCTCTTAATAATCTCTGTGCACACAGTTTACCAAATGATTAACCTACATATATTCGATATTGACCGAATTCTATACAAATTAAACGCATAAAAATACGGCTGATATAAAGGGCAATAAAGATTAAGTCTGAAAACGTATTGGTCATGAACTGGTAATGGTGACCTACAAAACAAACTTGCTATCATTTATGAGTTGAATGACATCTAATCATGTTTATGCTGAGTCAAATATTTTGTATACACGAATGACGTCTATTTTAAATATAAAACTTCTTTCTTTTCATTTGTTATTTCGTCTTTTGATAATGCGCTGATATGGCCGAGAGTGGGGAGAGTTCGCTCCACTTCTCGAAATGCTCTCACATGGCCACGCGTATACAGTCACTCCCAGGGAAGTCCTACTCAATGCCTTTCCGAGGCATTACTTTTGTTTACGAAATTGAGAGGAAGAAAAGCGAATGTCCGGTACTTTAACCGGGTTCGTGGACACGGAGGATCCACCTACAGAAATTGGAAAACCCTGACTCCAAACGAACGGTGTACATGGGCTCCAGAACCCTGAAGGAACAAATGGCGTATGAACCAATCGTTGGTCACCGGCTACCATGGGACTGCATCTCCACACGTTGCTCCACTGCCTTGTGGATTGGACCTCTAGGTCAAAGGTTCGGAGAGTGGTTCCTCAAGAAAACCAACTGCTTCGGTTTCGATGCCCGAGCAGTATTCCAGCCCTTACACAAATCGAATGATGAAGTGTGATGCATGTACATTTTATGCCTCCCTGTACCAAGTTTTATGGGTTTAAATATATAAATCAACTTGATAAACATCCACTAAGAGTTTTTCTGAGCCGGTAATTCATATTTGTGAATAGTTATTACTCAGCCACATTAATCCTATAAAGCGTAACAAACATAGACCCATACAGTTGTCTTTGGTTATAGCAACTCAATTAATTTGTGAAATAACATTTACATAATGTTAACAGTAGAAGCAGAAAAATTATAGCTTAGTTTAGAGACAACTGTAAGATATAAACGCTAAGTTGTTGTAGTGCAAGAGAACGTTATCAATGCATATGAAAGTCAGTCAGTCAAAAGTAATGAAAGAAATTGGTACAGATTTGTATAAATATAAATTTCCATAACAAGATGAATACTATAGTAGCGGAAGTATTAGTATCAGCTTTAGTAAAAAGAATTACATATAAAGAATGTGATTACAGAAAGAAGAATAAATCCTCGGAGTTTAAGATACTTTTAGAGGTCAATATTTAAGGGAGAGTGAATGTATTTATAGTATATGAACTGACCGTGAGCCATGTCATCTAACATTTGCGACAACTAATGTAAGTTATTTTGGGGATTTCAATCAAAGTGTATGGATTTATTAGCATACAATAATAGTCAATAACTTTATGGAATGATTTAGTGGCTTGGTTTGACCGTCCTTAGCTTCTCTTCCACTTACTCTTACATAAGGTCGTAGAGGCAGGCGGTGGCTAAATGTACATAATAAATCTCTCAGTCGATGAACGTTCACAACCTAACCAACCGATTAACTATCTTTCCCCAGTATCCTAAGTTTAACTTCAGTATTACTAACTCAATGGTCCTAACAAATGTCAACAATGTTTTAAAAGACACATGATAAAATACTAGTAAACTTTGAATAAATGAATTCAGTGATAAAAAACAAACTACTAGAGGAAACTCGTGATAGCGAACGCAAGCATTCTGAGGGAAACATACAATAAATAAAATGAAGGGTTTGTATATGGTAAGTTTGCATCGTGTTTATATGATTACTTAACTATATTATTAGTCTTCTGATTAGACATAAAGAGATTTATGAGAACAGTAAAAAGTATTCACTGTATACATTAATCTAAGTGATTGATTCAGTGAAAAAAAGTTAGTCTGGCAGTCATAAAACAAGAATGGACACAGTAAATCTACCTTTATTTGATACGACTGATATCAGGCAAGTCTAAGTAGTGAAATATGTTTAACTCAACTACTAAGGACAGGTTTATACAACTCGTCTTTGAGTTATATAGTTAATTTGGAAAACAGTGATAGTGTAGTGAACAAAACACTGGTTGGGGACAATCTAATGTATTTAAGCAAAGATTACAGACTATCTCAGTAAATTCTGATTACCAAACAATGAACAGTCAATTTGCAAATTAACAACCAATTGTTTCAATCTTCACTATTTCTTCTCTTATTCCATTGCTCATGCATTTTCCAAACGATTGCGCTTCATTTCAGTTCTTTCCTCATCGGTCTTCTGCCAAAATACATTCTATGTCTGACCCACACCATATACTACTTATATGGATATAAGTAGACCACACCACAATAGTTTCTAAAACAAGGCGAATTATGATTGAATCCACGGACAGCAAACGACGCTACTTCATAATATATTCTTCATTAAAAATCCCTAACTAACGCAAATTTACAGTAAACAAGAAAAGAAGCTCAAAGTTACTTATCCATGTATTACAAACTGGGTGTTCATGCACCAAAGAAGTCAAAGCATTATTACCGAGAAGTGGAGGGGAGATAAAAAAATATAGTAACGTAAAGTTATACTGTGATCAATCAGTTACAAAATGAGCAAATCGTAGAGCAATGCCTTAGTAGTCGAAAAATTCAACTTTAAGATATAAAATATCAGGTTTGAACCCCTCACTGAGCCTGCTTCACTTTATCCAGTTGAGTTATGTCATTATCTCTCATCCAAAAAGAGTAAATAAAATCCAAATAACTTTGTTTCTGATTACTGGGTTAAATCATTAGGAATAGTTTAGAGCGATTCACTTAGAAATACGATTACAATAAAATTTAATCTACGTCATACATAATCACAATATGAGCAATTGCATTAAATCTTATTAACTAAGTCACCTGGTGCTTGAGTATGAGCTACACTCAATATATAAGGGGTAATTATACCGCTCAGTTCCCCAAACTGAAGTCGACGGAACAGGATTTGAACCGAGGACGTAGTGGATAAAAGTCGGAAGGTTTAAACACAAAGTCACTGCTCCACACAACTATACAAATAATAAACATTTAAAATGAACACTTGCGATTGATTGATTAAATTTCTCAGTTTAGTTGTTATCATTTGTTTTTGTAAATAGTGATTTAAGTTTAGATAATGTGATAAGGAGATGAAAATTACTGTACTATCCAAATTTATCAAAGGGACTAATTGCTTCAAAGTGATTTAAATATTTTAGCAATTGTTAACCGAAGCATAAATATGCAAATACACTTTGTATTTATGCAAAATTGTTTCTTTAGTATCTATACAAACGTTTTATATCCTCATCTTAGTGTTCGAATGTAATTTCTTTTTAGTCAGTATTTTACATAATGACAGTTGATTTTCCAAATTACAAACATTTATCGACTATTATCAGAAAGGAGATTTAATAGTTAAATTCATGAGTCAATTAAAGCTAGACCACAATAGAAAACTTGGAATCAGTGGATGGCCGATTCGTCTAGTATAGGACTCCTCAACAGTGAGTATCCACGATTCCGCTCGAGTGATTCGAACCTATAACTAACGGTCTGTTTTGATTAATCAATATCGATTATAAAATAAATTTAAGGTTAGCCAATGAATCATAATTGATACATGATGGATAATAAATACCGAGGTTTCTTTTGAAAATAAATAAATCAAAAATCACTATCATCGTATTATTTATGTAAATTATACAATAATTAAAAGTCCATAGATGCTACTACTATTACTACTTACTAATGTGTCTGGTGTCAGTGATTGTAGTAACGTTGCACCAGACAAATATGATGATAAGTCATCGAAATTAAAAGATAGTAAATCTTTTTCACATAATTTCAATATTGCCAAAGCTGCATAGAACAAAGCAGATTCTTCATATAGAAAATACAAATCCCATATTCGTATACACGTTTCTAATGGAAGTATTCGACTTGATAAATAATGAATTAGAAAAAAGGAAATGAAAATTTCAATATTAAACAATTATTATGATTTCATTGAGATCATGAACTGATCAATATTAGACCACTATTGAAGACATGGAAGCAATGGACAGACGTTTCGTCCTAGTATGGGCTCCTCAGCAGTGAGAATCCACGATTCTGTGTGCGAAACTCAAAACCAGAACCTTCGATCTCAAGCGAATGCCTAACACCTAGACCAACTCAACAATCTCCACAACATTACAGTGATAGTTATCATGATATTTGAATCTTGTGTATTACATTTACAAGTGACAGGATTTATCTATGACTTCTTATCGATTGATAGTGGTATATTTAAATCAAGAATATTTGGTAAAAAGCATTATATGGTTAAAACGGGTTTTAACAGGAGGTGTATTTTAAAACTTTGCTATTTTACGCATAAATATGCTCTAAGTGTACATTTGGAAGGGAAAAAACCACATTATTTGTGGTTAAATAACACGATTTCTTTTATATTGTTGCAAAAAAGTATCGTTAAAAGAGAAATATTTAGTAGATTACTTAAATGATTTACTACATAATACAGTTTATTCATTTGAACAGGTAAGTATTAGTTAAAAGCGGCACCAAAACAAATATGCACCACACAATAAGACAGTGAGATTGTGAAGAGATAGATAAAGGAAGGTGAGTGAATGAGAGCAGAAAGAAATAACCAAGAGAGAAGCAGTTTAGTGATACAATAACTACACAAAAAAGGTCAATCCAATGAGCATAAGCATGAGAAAAAAAACATGGGTTTTGATCATATGAATATACATCTGTAAGGTTCAGTTGATATGCTGACGTTTTGTGTAAGCGAATAAGATCGAACATAACTTTGTAAAATGCTCAATAAAAGCTTAGTGTCTAGAGTTTTCGAGCATTTTTCAGTTCATTTTGTGAGTTTTGCGTATAAGTGCATGATTTTTACTGGAGACTTTATTTCAGTCCTCTAAAACTATCTGCATAACACCAGAAATGCTTGAAACCTCACACACTATGAACATTGGAAAACGCATGTGCTACAATTTCACCGGCATGTATTCTATCCTGTCCTTTCAGAGAATAAATAAATAGACGAATAAAATGGATACAAATTTAATTAGTACAAATAAAGCAAATTGGAATAATCTAAGTATAATCAACATCAAAATAGATCTGATCGTGTTGATGTCATATTATTTAGATCAAGATGATTCAATGTAAGACTTACTTGTGTGTATGTTATTAGTGAATATGTAAAATGTGATATATATAATATGGAAGAATAAGGTCAAGAAATTTCACTTCAAGCGTATTCAGGAATGATAGATTTAATTAAAGATCATAACATCCATTAATGTTGTTAATGAAGGAATCAATTAGTAAGATTTTCAAAAGATCTATGTAATTTAATATACAAATTATGTAAGCATATTAACAAATGTAAATAAGAAAATTAAATGGATTCATTGATTACAAATAGCAGACATTGTTCCTTTACTTAGATACAAAGTATGTATATCCATATTTCTTTATACATTTTTTAAAGTAGAGTGTGCAATGCTAAAAACATATTGGTTTTTAAAATAGCGACTTCCAATTCATTCAGTCAGTCATTTACAACGTAGAATTTCATCAGTTCAAGTTGCCATACCACATTATCACAGAGATGCAGTTGTCGTTTCAAATCCCATAGTGGTAGAAGTAGTAAGAGTATAAGTGGTAATCGGAAAGATTAGGGTTTGAAGATGTTATTCAAGAAGTATAACCCAGTAAAATAAATTTAGAAAGAGAAAAAAAGAGAGATATGAAGAATTCGGAAGATTATTATTATTATTAATGGCTTTAGAATTTGGTAGAACACAAAGAGTGGATTCACCTTCGTCACTGCAAACGATTTTGAACCATGTCATTCAAGGTCTCTAACCATCGATTGCTATGAAAATTACAAACAAGTACAATAAGAGACATTGTGGTGTTTGGCAATATGCTTTAGAGAGAATAAACATTAATCAAATGTCGATTCCCGAGCTGCTTAACTCTAACTGTCGATCTCTAATTAACAAGGTGGACTATCTCCAATTTCTGCTAAGTCAAAACATGTATCGTAATTGTGGTGTCATCACAATTCAAGAATCTTGGTTGACTGACTTACAGGATGATTGCCTAGTATCATTACGTGATCTTAATATCTATCGTCAGGATCGATCAAACAATAAAAAGACCTGTGGTGGCGCAGTAGCTACTGGGTTTTTTTTTGTTTTGTGTTTTTTTTTGGTAAAAAAACTTGTTGAAATAACTCGTGCTGAGAATTCTATATTGTACCAGATTATAATATTGAATAAAGCCATTAATAATAATTATTATTATTATCAAATACTAGTAACACACGAGTATCTTCTACTCTTAATGGCCATGTTTCACAGCCGTAAAGTAAAACAAAACGGACTGCTGTGCAGTATACTCGTTCCTTAATTGATAGACGGATATCTCATCTTCGCCATAGGTGACGTAAGAAGAATGGTTTCATTTCGCGACTGTCAGGTTACAAAGTTATGGAGTATATTTTTTTTGATTAGTTTAACATATTCTATCATCGTACAACTTCTCTTCATTGAAATGATGATAAATAGAAATAAATTTTCGGTATTATTTACAGATGACACGTGCTCACAAAAAAAATCTCATATGGATATAGAAAACAATAATAGTCAAGAAGCTTCACTTGATGAAAGCAATGACATTATTATGTCATCTGAACAAAAATCCAATTCATTAGATAATAGTGTTGACGACACTGTTATTTCAGAACCGATTTCTGTTAAACCTGAGATTGATGAAGATTCAACCATTGTTATTCAAAATGATAGTATTGTTAATAATAATAATAATAATAATACTGATGATCGGAACGGAGTTTGTTAAGTTATGTACTTCGTATCGATTTTCTGTGTATACGTTTTATTTACTAATAACATTTTATAATATATCTTCAACAATCAATGATCTTCTTTTGTAAATATCTTTATGAATAATAATAGATGATAAATTTTTCAGTCGTTCATTTCTCTTTTCTGATCTAGCATGTGTAGCTTAATTTGTATAGAAATAGTCGAGTGGAAAACAAATTATAAACTTTTCTATTCGTAGGACATACCTAAATAGAATGTATTACATATTTTGGACTGTTGTCAAACCAATATTGTCAATGAGTTGTTCAAGTAGAAAAAAGTGAAATGTATTTATATCAGTCAGTCACAACACGTAGAACTTCGTACGTACGTACATCAGTTCAAGTTGCCATACCACGGTAGCACAGAGATCCAGTTATCGATTTGAATCCCATAGTGGTAGAAGTAGTAAGAGTATAAACAGTAATCCGAAAGATTAGGGTATGAAGATATTATTCAAGGAGTATAATCCAGTGAAATAAATTTGGATAGAGAAAAACATAAAGGAACATGAAGAATTCAGAAGATTAGAATTTGGTAGAACACAAAGAGTGGATGCACCTTCGCCACTGCAAACGATTCTGAGCCATGTCATTCAAGGTCTCTAACCATCGATTGCTATCATCTCGCGAATCCCACCCACGTAGTCTACACCTACCAGCATGGCTCAGTCCAATTGTCAGTGACTTCATGGATTTGTGCCACGTTTTGGTCTGGCCGCTCCTAGGTTTCTTCCAACCTACTCCTACATCATAAAACATTGCACGTCGAGGCATTTGGTGGTTGGACATACGTAACACGTGTTCCAGTCATCTCAACTGATGACGTTTCATCAATCGATTTGCCATTCTTACCTAGTACCAGTTTCCTAACAACTGCATTACTTACCCAGTTGTCCCAGGATATACGAGCAATGATTCGAAGACACTTGTGATCGAATACTAGTAGCCTATGAATATCCTATACTGTTATCGGCCACGCTTCACTGCCATAAAGTAGGATGGAACAAACTGTTGCACGGTAAACCCGTCCTTTTTTTGCTAGACGGATATCTCGCGTATGTCATAAATGAAGCAAGTTGGCGAAAACTAGACGAGTCTTCTGTATCCGTGCTGAGATTTCGTCAAACACCAGACCACAAGAGTGACTTCCAATTGTGTAGTTATAACCAACGTAAGGAAATAGCACAAATTTATATCTTGAATTAATGTTATGAATCTTTCATTGTCTTCCTAGACAACATCATCAACATACACTTCAATAAAAAATGAGTGATGATAAATTTTCTAGAATTGAATAGTTGCTTGTTCTGTTGACCTAGATGAATTTGGTTGGTTGTTTCCATAGATTTGTAGCAGTTTTTCTGTGTTTGTTTTGATGCCGTACTTCTAGAAGAATAGAGCTATTGTAATACATCAATCAATAGACATATCGCAATTGATTTAATCTGTCAATTAGGATAAGTGACTTCAAGGTTAGATAAAGAACGGTTACATATCTTTGGATAAAAACCAGAAGAATTCATCTGTGTCAACAGGACAAGAAGCTAATCAATTATGGAAAATTTCTAATCACTCAATTCTTTTAAAATTGTTTGTTGATGGTGTTGTCTAGGAAGACTATGAAAACTTCACGATTAAACCATTCAACTCAGAGAAAAAAACATTCGAAATTCTCATTCTGTACCGAAAATACTCTTCATCACTACAAATGCGTATCAACTCAACTTATCGTACTACAACATTAGCATAATAAGATGAAAGTATCAATAAGAATTCAAAAATAGCAGTAGTAGCACCAGTGACAATAAAAAGGATTAGGTATGAAGAATGTGGTTTTAAGAGAGAAAAGTAGACGCTGGAATGAAACGTACAAAATAATATTGGAAACCAAGAATTAGAAGATACAGAGTGAATATATCTGATACTGACACTGAGAAATCTCACTCAATGTCCTACCGTACGTTAGTTATGCTTCAAAGATGAAATAACAATAATCATCTAATGTGTTCTAATTTTAAATATCATGCTTTGGAGATTCATTCGACAGTGAACTGGGAATTATTCGAAGAAACTTAGTTGACAATGTTCATCTTATAAAGTTTATAAATAAGCACTTCAATTTAGCAAATGAGGTTGAGCAACAAGCCACTTCGCTCAAAAAAATATATTTGTCAAACTTTCATTGATAGGCGATGATCTTAGTGCAAAGAATAGGCATCAATTAAGAGCCAGCATTGCATTCACACTGATATTTACTATAGCCAATTTTGTTATTACATATCAAACAAAAAGTACTGAAACAATCTAACTATAACAATTAGAATTTCTTGGTTACACATACCTACAGTAGAGCAAACGTTGAAAAAAGAACAAAAAATGGTTTCATGGAGAACACAGAGCATAGCACTTGAAAACGGATGACTCCAAATTATTCAGCTTTGCAAAAAGAAGACACATAGTGGACAAAGGTTAATCAGTAGAACTTGGCACTGATTTTAGTGTGATGAACAGACAGAACAACGATAATTATTTATTTAAACACATAAATATTGGTACAAGGAAGCACCAGATATATATGTGCGCACAAATCTCATTTGATTTAAGTGAGGGTTGTGATACTGCCCAGGTGCATAAAATGAAGCAGGGAACAATGATAAACGAGTAGAAATGGTGTTTCTGTTTAGTTTAGACGAACAAAGATAAACATCTAAACTAAACAGAAGCACCGTTTCTATTCGTTGTCTCAAACCTAATTTATGCATACAAAAACTTCCAGTTCAGGTAGAAGTGTTTATCATAACGACTGACGCATTGCTACCAACACCTTCCTCCTTAAGTTTTCTCGGAATATTTAAAATTTCATTTCGCTAGTTTACTCTATGATGTTTACAGGCATTCTTCATCTTTGTTATCAACTTTTATTTAACAATTATAATATCATTATTATTTTAGTCAACAATTCAATTCTAATCTGTTGTTATTATAACTAGTCTTATCATTTCAATATTATCAGTATAAGATTGTGGAGATTGTTAAGTTTTAAATGAGATCATGAATTGATCAATGTTTAACATTGTTCAATAAATTATTTCATCCCAGATCAATCTAGAAGTTTAAGTAAATGGATTTGCTCACGTCATCTTTGACTATTACTATCATTATTATTACTATTATTATGATGAATTTATAACATGGTTCGAATCTCGCGTAGCGAGATCGTAGACGCGCACTGCTGAGGAGTCCCACAATAGAACGAAACTACCATCTAGTGCTTCTAGATTTTTCATGGCGGTCTAGCTTTAATTGACTCATAATTTCAACTATTAAAAAAATTACTAAAATCTCCACAAAACCTCTTTCTGATACTATACTATTGTTTTTAGTAAATCATTACAGAATCTGCCATTTTGTTCACTGTAATTAAAATAATTTGCAGATATTTCTTTCTTTTTTTGTGTTCGAGTTTATCATGGTTTCTCTTTGCCTCACTTATTCTGTTTACCTATAAAACGAACAGGAATAAAAAATATAGAAAGATACAATAATAATTACTTTTCATTGATGAACTAAATGATTAATACTTATATACGCCTGTTACTCGCAATGGAGCATATGCCACCGACCATCATTCTCCAAACTACTCTGTCCAGGGCCCTCCTTTCTAGTTCTATCCAATTTTTGTTCACTTTTCTTATGTCTGTCTCCATTTCTCCGAAGAATGTGTTCTTGGGTCTTCCTCTTTCCATTTGACCTTCAGGATTTCATATGAGGGCTTGCCTTGTGATGCAATTGGGTGATTTCCTCAATGTGTGTCCTATCTACTTCAAGCGCTTCTTCCTGATTTCTTCCTCCACTGCAATCTGGTTTGTTATCTCCCACAATAGATTGTAGTTGATAGTGTCTGGTCAACGGATCCGAAGTGTCTTGAGTAGACATCTGTTAATAAACACCCGTATCTTCTGGATGATAGCCTTCGTAGTTCTCCAGGTTTCCGCCCCATACAGTAGAGCTGTCTTGACATTTGTATTGAAAATTCTGATCTTGGTGTTGGTTTACAATTGTTTTGAGTTCCAGATGTTCTTCAATTGTAGATATGCTGCTCTTGCCTTGCCGATCCTCGTCTTCAAATCTGTATCAGATCCACCGTTTTCATCAATGATGCTGCCCAGATATGTAAAGCTTTTGATATCCTCCAAAGCTTCTATGTCAAGTGAACTAAATGTTTGTATGTATGTTACATGTGTAAAACATTTGAATCATTCAAACAATTTAGTATATAGTAAATATAGTTGTTATATCTAGAGCTTTGATTCTTACTATGCCACGTACTACTAAACTACTTGAACGATCAAACCCGCAACGTCGCAAGAGAGATGACAGAAGGCCAGTAAGTAGGAATTTTATTCCCCAAAACAGTGTCAAAATATAGTACAAAAATCTAATGTATTTATAGTTTTTTGGCCGAAAGTAAATCATCATTTCGGACAGCCGATAGGCACATAGGGGGTCATTCTTATCGATCCAATAGGGAAGCTACACGTCGACATTCTAGAATATTCCCCTAGCAGTGATTGGATAGAATGTCTTTGGCTCTTTTTGGGTTTCTTGAGGCTTCCTAGAGTTTGCCAACGAACCATTCTTACAATAATATATTTATTATAATCTGAAGCTTTTTAACTCAATATAAAACATTTCTTAAGAGAATAAAAATTAATACATATTGAAAAGAATATATAATATGAAATTCACTTTGACCTATCATGTTTTTCATTCTTTTATAAAAGTTTATCAAAAGAATCAGATAAAGATAAAATTTCTTAATGATAATTTATTTACCTGAATAATGTAAACAACCAATCGAACAGAAACATAGTTGTTTCAAAACCAACTTCTTTAAAATGCTTATAAAGTCGAGGTAGACACCTAGAGAACAACTTATCAAAGTCATTAAAATATAGTAGAAACTGTAAAGGAAAAAAATTACATAAGAGAATAATTAGTTGATTTATATAAGAACGTTCGTCTAAATTAGAGCGAATAGTTTCACAGTATTTGAGCGCTGAGTTGATGTAAGACATTAAATAGGTATAATATATTTGTGAAATCTCAGCGAATGAATTTGAAGGAAATCCAACAATGTATAGTGTACAATGAAACGAAGAACCATGTACTTATTTATATTCGATAATTTTGATGTTTGATTATAATTCCTTGAAAAAGCTTGGACCAGATTGCCAGGCGAAATGTTGGATTTCCTTCAAATTCATTAGCTGAGATTTTACAAATATATTATTCCTAATTAGTGAATTAGTTAATTTGTTTTGTTTTTTAATAAAAAGAACATATGAATAGAAGAAAGTGAACATTGGTATAGATTTTGTTTAGAAGTGATTGTGACCAGTAAAATTTCATTAAATCTTCTCATTAAACGTTGTACAACGTTTAATGAGATTTACCTTGACTCATGATCATGGATTGTACATGAGTAGTTTGAAAGAGGGTTAAGAGGGGCCAAATCAAGACATGGCATCAATTCATAAAATCTTTGGGACTAGGTGTTGTTGATGTCTTAGATGGCTACCGAGTTGAAGTATATACGATTAATGTAACTAATGGTTAGAGACTTGGGTGATTTGACTAAAAATAGTTCATAATGACACTTGTATATTCACTCTTTGTATCTACCTAAATCCTAGATTTTTTAATTATCCTGAAAGCTGTTTCAGAACACAAATATTTTTTTATTGAATCATATATTGTATCCCTAATCATTTATATAATCACCAACACTATTATTACCTCTACTACTCTGCAACTTCCCCTGACAAATTCATCTCTCTGTGTTGATGAAATGTAACAACTTAAACCGATGTAGATACATGTCATGCTTAAAATTCTTTACCACTGCCCGACTGAATAGCTTTATAAAGTTTATTTACCAAGAAACCAAACAAAACTAGTCCAACTCTAAAAGGAACAGTGATTACAGTAAAGAAATCCAATACAAATATATAATTTCGCAATAATTTTCTTAATGATATAAATGAATGATATAAACTTACAACTGTCCACCTGCAACTAAAGTCTATTATAAAGTTGATTCGTTTTAATTAGCACTAAGAATCACACAACAAGATATTGGTAACTACTAGGTGATTGACCAGTTGTTAAACTTATTGTTAACATGGAAGCAATATACGACCATTTCGCCCCAGTATGGGATCCCTCAGTGGTGCGAGAGACCAAAGGGGCTTGGTTTGGGTCACGTTTGCAGAACCATGGATGCGCACGGCTTCCACGTTTTCAATGTTCGTCCAACATAGATCAGTTTATGATCTCAATAGAAACTCAACAATCTCCACAACTTTATACTGATATTTATCATGTCCTCACTAGTAACTAGCTTTGAGGGGTAATTCTTGGAATTGTAATGAGAAACCGTGAGCAATGGAGATCAACCGTGTTGGATGTGAGGCAGTTAGCTCTCAGAGATAATGAAAGATGGTTACATAACATTATGGATGAAATCAAAAAGTTCAACTTACTTTCTCTTCATCCATACTATAAAATGCTTGATGATATGATCTATTTAAAATATTTGCAAACGTTACAAATGCATCGTATGTATCATCGAAAACTATCAAAGCCATACCAGCTATCCATGACATCCCTGGTATATAACCGATTTCAGGTTTATAAGAAATAAAAGCTGCCAATAAGTCATGTAATCTCTCATGATATGGATAACCAGATGAGAATAAATTCAATGTTGGAAATATTCGACACATGTCCACTTTAATTGCATGTAAATTCATAGTATAATCTATAAATGAATGGTTAGAAAGAATTGTTTATTCAACAAATTAAAATGATATAAAATAACACACAACAACAATAGAGCAAGTTCAGTAGCAATGTTTAAAAACGAAAACTGTTTCCCACTCAGTCAATAAAAAGGTTTTCTTAGTAACCATCACCATTTTGAAATTGAAAACCACTCGAGTACTATTAAATTAGGAGCTATGAAACCGATTCTCAAGGATACCTCATTAAAAATCCTTTAAATGCGTTTTATACATTGAATAATTTATTCCAGATAGATATCCTAGCCAGCTACAATAGATTACATTGAAGATCCAACGTCATTATGGTGAAAAACGAATTGAAAGTTATGAAGTACGTTATAGATGAACAGTATTATCACTGCATCTGACCTCATTCGTTTCAACTTCATTTGCATACACACAGAAAACGAGAGAAGAATGTAATAGAATCTATGAGATATAAAATAATATAATGTAATATTTTGAAAGTAGAAGAAAATTTATTATTCTCTAATGATATGTAACTGAATGTGATAAAATAAAATGAGATCAGTATATGAATTAATTATATTAAAAACTGATCTAAAATGAAATTTCACAATGAAACAACTCCATGAATTCACTTGTTGACACAATATCATGAAGAATTTAACATTTTATGACAAACTACAATAATAATAAAAAGCTGAACACAGAACTCATGAAGATATAGATGATCTTGGATACACTGTTCATACATTAACAGAATATCCGCCTACAAATATTTAATAGTTTCAAACTGTGTTATTTCTTGTGACCAAATGGATGCCTTGATAAGACCGCCAATCAGAGAGCAGCGAGTTGTCGATTGGAACAGTGACACACGAAAACCGTACGAGCAGTCTAGAGTACGTATCAGTCCTGCTTTCTACCTAGCCCAGTCAGTTAAGTCCAGAACACCAATAACATCCTCTGTGGTATGGATCATTGTATTTCAAACATACTGAGTTTATATACCAAACAGACTGACCACATCGTACCAAGAAAATAGAAAATAACATTTGTACAAGAGTTAGCCAAATGTGGCTGTGAATAGGCAGGGAGCAGTAATTAATATACTGGGTATAACTCAGGAATGGTAAATCGTACAATAATAGTCCAAGGGTCAAAATAAAGCTCACAATGAAAGGAGCATGAATATGAGTAGTTTAATTATTTAGCAAATATACGATAAAAATTATATGCATAATATTGGTCCATAAATGGATGACAAAGTTATCATTCACTATTGTTATCGGGATATAACAAACTGATATCGTATATTATTATGGTTCATGTGAACAATGTACTGCCTAACTAATTTTCAAATATAACAGTTCAAACAATCCAAAGCCATATATCGCCCCTTTACACAATTAACATCGCTATCAACTTGATCATGGATGTAAAATGGCGTATATTCTTCCATTATTTTAAGGATATATATGTCGAAAAAGTGATTGACTACTATTAGAATGTGAGATATAATCTTCTTTACAGAATTAACCGTTTTAATCTGGATGCTTGAGGTAATAGTGTCCCATTTAATAAACAAAAACACAACGATATTATCATACTTAACAATAATTATCACAAAATATTTTTATAAATTTTCTATCATCATTGAAGACTGGGCTATACGAGTGTTCAGTGGTGACTTCTCTGTGAATTAAACATTCAAGTAACAATGACCTAACTAGTTATGTAGAAGATATCATTCGTCAGAAAATCTCGATAGACATGGTATAGCTGCGGTGTATGTTGCTTATGTCAACGGACATAAGTAGTGTTTAACACCAGTCAAAAGTGGAATGCATGACAGCAGAAGGATACGAAGATCAAGTTGAAGAAAACAGAAAGGGAAATAGAAAGGAATTACGAATTGGTAGAATCATATAGAATGTGAAGGATAATTGATGGGAGATTTGCAAATGAAATATATGATGTATGTTTCTCATATTTTACGAAGATATTCTGTAATTTCGTATGAAATAACAGATTGACTGACCCACCTGTGTTCCCGTTCACTAGACAGCTATCTGAATAAGTTAATACTTAGACATCTAAAGGACCAGCAATTTCTAAACAGTAAATCATTTAAAGTTTGTCATATTCTACAGGTTTGTTTCAATTATAATTTATCATTAATCAGTACATAGTGCGTTTCAATCGACACTATCACCATCTGGTAATATATAATAAAGTTAAATTTAATTATCAAGCCTTTTATTGAATTGAATTTCATCATTTGTTAAAAAAAGACTAAACTACCTATTCGGTACGATTGTTCAAATTCTGATGGATCTATTTTGAAAGAGTTTGCTGAAACAATCGCTTCTTCTAGTTCCTCCCCTTCGAAAGACGTTTTTGTATAGTGTTCATGTAATTTTTTAAAATTACGAGTAACAAAAGGGACACGTGTAAATTCTCGTTTAATTGATATCGTATTTAATTTACTGAATATAAAATTACACATCACACAATTAAATGTAGAATTTTCAGTGTTACTTAAATTCAATAATGAATAATGTTCATTAAGATTAGAATTTGTTCTCTCGTATTGAATGATACCAGAATGTTGACTAATATTCGCTTCAACATGGTGTTTACTTTGACTAAGACAAGTGTTGAATAATTCTCGAGTTATTCCCAATTTATTGCCAAGTAGTAAAGACCAAACCTTTCGAAACAAAAAAAGATATTTTAACATATTAGTGAAGGCAGCATTTAACGAAATCATCAGAACATAATAAACTCTGCTATAAACAGTCAGTTATTTACGTTGTTCATGATACTTTCCCACTTAGTACACAATTCTTGTCAATATATTACACAGTTAACTACTTTCCCATACAGCATTAACCGGTAATCTAGCCAACAAAACATGAAAATACAAGCATCATTAGTGAAAGAGAATACGAATGAACAATAGCGATAGTCACATGCTAAACACAGATATCAGCAGAATGGAGTTAAAACTAATAATAACTAAAAGTGTATGTGTATTGAACACTAAATTTTCTCCCGAGTACAATACCATTAAAAGTTATCATTCGCAACAAATTTACGGAAAAAATGGGTGTGTAGGAAGTAATCACAATAACTTCGATATGTATCAAACTGTGGCAAGCATTAAAATCTAATGTATCCGTTTAGTCCTATCCGAAACTCATCAGTTAAATACACTTGCATAATAGTATGTTAATGTTCACAGATAAGAATCTGACCTAAACCCAGGATGTATTAACTTTGTTCTTATGACATTATCAATCGTATAATTGTTGTGAGTACAAGAATGGACTCTATTGCGCACAAATTCTAACGGAATTAATCAATTAACATAAATTACAGCCGATAAAATTACGTCTGATACTACTAACTATCAAATGGCTTCGTAGTACATAAGTAAAGTAATAAAGCAGAATATCAGCCAATAAGCACTTTATGAATCATATCGGAAATACGTATATACTTGGCCGATAATAAACATCGTCATATAGTATTAATAATAATAATATTTGACGTAACTTATTGCTGAGCAATTAAATAACTCAAAAGTAAATAAATTATTATATGAATATAATAAAAGTAACCAAATCTGAATACACCTACTTACATGTAATAATTTTAAGTTAAATTAGTTATGAACAGTTACTTATACATAATTGCAATTTATTATCATTCGATAGCAAAGTGCAGGTATTATAAATATAAGTGAATAATGAATTTATTGTCGATAAAATTGACCTTTGATTTAATTAAAACATGAAATCAAAGTATACTTTACGATAGAAGTAAGGCAAATCCAATATAGTGTTTAGTTTCAATGAAATCATTGACCGATCCAAATTAGACTACCACTGAAAACACAGAAGCACTAGGCAGGGGTTGCGTCAGAGTACGGGACTCCTAAGCAGTGCGTAGCCACGATCCCGCATACGGAACTCGAGCTCAGATCTCTTGGTCTCACGCATGAATGGTTAATATATAGACTTCTGAATCAGTGTCCAACGACGTTAATGTCAAATCTCAAAATATAGATGGAATTACAAAGATGATTTTTAAAAGGATAAACCATATAGAATATATTAGGCTGAATAGATGTTTGGTTGTGAATGCACATGTGAATAAATTATGTTCACCTGGAAATATTGAAACATATTTTCAAAACTTAATCACTTTGTCATTGTATGTATAATATAGATAATGAGATTGTAAAGTTTACGCAAAACAGTACGTCAAAATTTAACGAAGCACATATAATACATGTGACTTAAGGTAATATCGAGGCATAAATATTGGTACAAAGGGGCACCACATATATATGCGACACACAAATCTCATTTCATTTGTGTGAGGGATGTGATACTGCCCAGGTGCTCAAATCAAAGCAGGTGGTTTTCTTAGGGGACCACACCCGGAGCCTTTGACCAAAAGATCTGATCCACAAGGCAGTAGAGCATCATATTGAGATGCAGTCCCCCGGTAGCCGGTGACCAACGATTGATTCATACGCCATTTGTTACTTCAGGATGCTGGAGCCCATGTGCACCATTGATTTAAAATCAGGTTTTTCCAACTCCCCTAGGTGGACTTTCCGTGTCCACCAACCCTGTTAAAGTGCCGGACATTCAGTTTTCGTCCTCTCAACTTCGTAATCAACAGTACTGCCACGAGAAGGCAGTGGGTAGGGCTTCCCTGGCAGATGCTATATACGCGTGGCCATATGAGAGAATTTCGAGAGGGAGAGCTGACTTTCCCTACTCTCGGCCATACCAGGGCATTTGGGCAATACAATTATATCATTTTTAATTCTTTAATTTACAAGCTAAATATTTTAAGTTAAGATTTTAACATTGTTTGTCATTTTATATCGATCCCCCTCTGATGAAAGTCATAAATCTTTTAAATGAACCCTTGAATAGGTTTTCTAAGCTCTTCTAATAACTTCAGGCTAAATCTACACAACAACCAAAACATGAGAGGAAAGGAGTGAAATATGGAAAGAACGCTTTACTCTAAGGTTAGTTTTTTGTACAGAAAATTTAGAGTATTCATAGTATTTCGGATGGCGTTGGGCTTCTGGAAGTTTCTGGAAAGGTACTAAACATGTTAGAAGGATAGGTGATCATCTAATCAAAAATGTGACATGTGACCCTCCACTTTATAGATATTTCTGAGAAATTTCCATTTATCGCTAACTGGATAAAATGTTTCCCTGAGTTTTTAGAGTACCTCTGGACGTTTTTGAGGAATTCTTTGAATCTCCCGAGCAGAAAGTAATTAGGTTTTTAAAAGCGACGTACACAGTTACAACAAAACGTATTTGAAAAAAAATCGTTGATTAAAGTTTAAATTACTCTCACTAAACAGACCGTTAGATACTAGAGTTAATCATGCTAAATGATTAGTTCACTGAGTTTTAAATACTTAACTAATCTGACCATCAGTTTTAACTGAATTATGAAGTTATAAGTTACCGGTTAAAATATTTCAATGCCAATGACAAGCGTCACAAATTTGAAGCTTGATTCATTTACAGAAATTCAGACTGTTTATTGCTTTCACACTATCTAAACAATAGACGTGATTAGTAGCTTAACACATGGATCTGTAAGTAGCTCACTTAATCACGATTAATTATATCTGTAAGTTTATTGTCAAACCAAATATCGATAAAATATTACAATTCACAAAAATAGTCAAATGGACTGATTTCAAAGAAACAAGATATTTATATATTGTCATTAACAGATCTGGTGAGACTATAATTTATGGACGACTTTTTAGCGAGTCTAAAGTGACCCTGAGAATGTCCATCTATTATCTAGAACTAAATGAAGATTATAAAGCAGAGTGAAGAGTTAGAATTATGATTTACAGTTCATGGTTACAGCTAAGAACTAGATTTAGAGTTTTCATCACGAACTAACATCACCTAAAATGTCAAGACGGTATTTAGCCAGATGAATTTCGTGCGAAAATCTAAGACCTGTTATCTCGTATCTGATTGGCTCATCCATTAATTATAGTCTCGCCACAGATCTCAAGAAATTTTCTTTACTTACTTGATTACGAACGGCTGAAGGAACACCTTCCCAAAAGTATTGTCTTACATTCTTAGATGGATAACCTGATTTCCAATGAGTTAATATATTATATCGCCATACTTTAAGAAGACTTTGCTGTTTATCTTCTTCATATGAAATAATATCAGTATCAGTAGTATAAGATTTCTGCAATTCTATGTTTGTTTTTATTTGAAAAAAGAAAAGAGTTGGGAACATAAAGATGGATAATTTTGAACAGAAATATAAAAATTGGATTAAAAACTTGGGAAAATAAATCGAATCAATGATTAAAAATGTAATCACAGTGATATGTTAATGTCCTGGTTATCATCAAAGTTAAATGAATACTGATACGTAGTTGAAATCATGAGTCAATTGAAGCTAGACCATCGTGGAAAACCTGGAAGCATTAGACGGCCGTTTCGTCCTATTGTGGGACTCAGAGTATTAACAGTTGTAAAAGTAATCTTTCATTTCTATTGTTCAAGAATTATTTTAATCATTCACTATTGTGATGTAAGCTACTTAAAAATATGTCTTTGTGTTATTCATGCTAATACGTTATTTATAACCCGCGTGGTGGTTGGAAATGAACTCTCAGTGAAATATCGAAAGCGCAAGACTGGTAGATCCTGGGTTCGATGGGCGGAATCGTGGATGCGCACTGCTGAGGAGTCCACAATAGAACGAAACAGCCGTCCAGTGCTTCTAGGTTTTCCACGGTGGTCTAGCTTCAATGGACTCGTGATCTCGACTATATATCAAAATTACTAAAAATCTCCACAAAAAACCTCCTTAAATGAATATTGTTCAACAGAGTATTACAATTGGCCTTATTATAATATCTGTAAATATGGTAACGTAAATTTGATTTTCTATGAGAGGATTACCTAATTTGTGGTTACTGATCAGTCTCACCAAACAAAAGAAACAGAACTAAATTTAAGACTTTCTATTAGTTATTATTAACTATTCAATCAATTGAATTACAAATACAAAATTGATAAGACGCTTATATTCCGATCGTGATGATGATTAAAACCTCTCACTAAACAAAATGAAACTTTATACATCAAAATGAAACAATAAAAGTGGCTAGGAATCTACTACCAGTGTACTAAGTTAAATTAATACCCCAAAAATTACAAAATGAAAAGGACAATAGATTGAAAAACAGAAAAAACGACACAATTATATCAAAACTACAAGTACTTGGTGAATATACATAAACAAACATGACTATTATTTACAGTCGTCAATGTAAGATATAATAAAAAAGGAATGTGAAAAACATATAAAGAATGAATAATAAATGATTCAATGGAACGGATATAATGAAAACAGAGTTTTGGCAGATAATACTAGAATTTATAAAATAGGCTACATAGTCAAAAGAAGTGAATTCTACAGGGTAAACTTGCATTATTTTTTACATCGGCGTTGATATCAACAAGAAATATTTTTTTTAAATGTTATAAGAAACTAATACTACAGTGGATGTTTCTTATGTTGATAAATATAAGTAGTATATAACACCAATCAGAAGTGGAATGCCTGGTAGTAGAAGATTGAATGGAAGGGAGCAGAAAGAAAAATAGAGAGTAATTGTAATAATAAAAGGATCGAACGAATCATAAAGTATGTAAATGATAACTGAAGGAAGATGTGCATATAGTATATTTAACTTATGGTTTTCATATTTCCCACCTGAGTTCATCGTTTACCACAGTACTATTGGGAAATGAACATGACATAACACAATTAAGCCAAATGTATGTGCAGCACCGAGGTTGATTTTAATCAAGATGAAATAATTTCTAACAAGTATTATACCACGAATTCTAACTATAAATACTGCACTTTTCGGAATAAATCAGTCTAACTGTAAAAGATTTTATGGAATAATTCTATAGTTTGAACATAACATCTTGATAATAGAACTAAGATCATAATTTATTCATTAACTTGAAATTCTGGCATTTATTTCCATTAGTGACTTGAAATCATAGTTTTTCAAATATATATGCTGAATCTAACATCCTATCACTTCTATGAGAACACTTTTACAGTCTGATGGCAATAGGAACGATTATCATCTAAAAGGCTATAAGCATACTACTATACAGATATATTCAAAAGCCGTAGGGAAATCACTTAATATTCACATTATATTATTAACAAACCAATATTGATGAAATTCTAAAAACAATTTAGTTCTTGGTATGCCTACAGTGAAAAGCGTGTGCTAAAAAGAAAAGTTAGTTACTCAGTCGTTGATTTTCATATTGAATCCATTAAAAACAATAAGTTATGAACATCCGATGTCTAATTAAAAATGAGCGCTTATTATACACTTAAACACTAACTATTTTGGTGAAGAAAAGAGATTTCCAGTTTCGATATTTCTTTTAGTAAGTTTATCGCATACAAAATACACTGTTTCTATGAAAGGAATATTGGTGAGTAAATGTGATTAGTCTAAAGATATCATGAATTTCTTTCCAACTATCGGATTTTCTGTTTTGTTGCTAAACTTCAAAGAACTCTCAATATTATACTTGATGATTTCTATATCCATTAATTGCATGGTTTGTATTAGCTGCTTCATTGTAGCGTGATAAGTAGAATTATTCATCTCAAAAACTTGTTAGATGAATAAGGTGTTTTTATGCATTTTAGTCATACAATACAGTCTTGGTTCTGTTGTTTCTTCAGGTCTTAGTATTTCAAACAAGCTTCCTGAAATCAAACTTTGTTGTTTAATCTTTTTTTAGCGAATCTGCTAGTTGTTTTTTGCTCCTGTCTGTCACACTATTCTTTACTTTCATCACTTGGCACTGCTTTCATCTTATATCTAAATAATCTTTTTTGTTCATAAGATCTACACCATAACCTTTATTCAGTCTTGAGATTAACAAATTATAATTAGCTTTAAGTTTTCATAAAGCATCTCTTCGTTTAATGATCAAAGTGTGTTTCGAATCGTGCTCACAATTTAATCGATTAAAGCAGTAATCAAATTCTGTAGATTTATAGCTTTCGATACCACCATTTGATTTGGATAATAAACCACCAACTTGTACGTACGGGGTTATGAAATCGATTTCTGCATTCATTTTACTAAACGTTTTTCTTCAATGTAACAAAACTCAACAACAGATAGTACTGCTAACTCAATCATATTAAGAGTAACATAGTAAAAATTATGAATATACTGACCTGAGTTTCATGGAAACTTTTCAAGAGTCTTTTTCTTAAGACCTTTCACTAGTTGGATGCATGTCTTTTCCTTCCATGTTTTAAAAACTATCTTCATGTAATTCGAAAAATATTGTTCAAAGATTAGAAAAGCTTACTGATTGTATGAAACATTTCTTTAACATTTCATTTAGGTGGGAATTTAACTAGTCAATTCCATTATTATTCAAATGTTTTGAATTAGCAGTACAAACCCTGAAATTAATGGATATAGAAATCGTCAAGTACAGTATTGAGAATTCTTTGAAGTTTAGCAACAAAACAGAAAATCCGATGAGCGAAGATGGATAGTGGTTAGCAATGGAATCCAGGACGCGCGTTTCATCCTGTTTGGGACTCGTCAGCTGGATGTACCTGCATCTCAGAGTTGATGTTCACCCTGAGACTCCAACCCAGTACCTTTCGCTTCAAACACCATCACGTTATCCACTCGGCCACTGAGTCCCGATAGCCACTTGTTTGTGCGATGGGGTGAAGTTTAAATTCATTTAGTATTGTTTGTTTGAATCTTCCCATGGCGTTTGAAGCGAAAGGTACTGGGTTCGAGTCCCAGGGTGAACATCAACTCTGAGAGTCCCAAATAGGACGAAACGCGCGTCCTGGATTCCACTGCTGGCCATTATCCATCTTTGCTTACCATGCTTGTGAACTAAGGCTATATCGAGGCAATACGCACAGTATGCACATATGCCAATTAGAGACTGACCAGTTGCAGTCCTAACACATGGATGGGAAGATTCAGACAAACAATACTAAATGAGTTTGGAGAATCCGATAGTTGGAAAGAAATTCATGATATCTTTAGACTAATCACATTTACTCACCAATATTCCTTTCATAGAAACAGTGTATTTTGTATGCGATAAACTTACTAAAAGAAATATCGAAACTGGAATCTCTCTATATCAGGAACGAACACCTATAACTTAACAATAATTTTTACAAAGAAAATGGATTGGTTTGCGATGAGTTCCACCACTAAGTCCGTTCCTTGTAGACTTCTTTCTTAACACAAATAGAGAAATTTCTACTTAATAAAATGTCATGAATAACTAGATGTTTTCTAGTGTTACCAAATTAAAAAATAATTTCCCTGAAATATAATAAAGGTTAATATTATGAAAATTCTTATTTCAAGTATTTACCAACCTAGTAAAATAGTTTAGGTTGTGATGGTCGGTATTCGATATTATCCTTAAACTTCGTATAATGTTCATCCTTATAACCGTTACTAGATAACACCCCAACGGTGTATAAATCAGAAGGTGAATACGAAGTGTTGATTGCGTTTATTATTGAACCATGCACAGATTGCCAGGATTACAGGCGCGTTAAGCAAGCATGAGTAGTGCAGAAATGTAAGCGAGTGATCAAGACAAGGAACAAGTGTGCGAGCCAGCGAACAGGATTAAAATGTACATATATATACATATGGAAATTAATGAATCATAGAAATAATCAAGCGACTAATATAATGGCTAGCAGAATGAATATATCCATAAGCAGTAAACAATGCTCAAGTATACATATGCATACAAGTGTAACAATGATAAAGGTACAATAGTATGGGTAAGTTGTTATCGTACGAATGTCTCTATCCGTTAAAAAAGTTAACAAAAGGGCTTAACCAAATTAAATATGAACAAACTCAATTGTACGTGAGCTGCTCTAAGACATTCGACCCTAAACCATCTGTCTATACGTTAGATTACGGTTTCACTTACTTCGCCTGTAAAAGTTGTGCTGTATTTCTAACTACAAGACAATAAATGTGGCTGAGAGCAAAGTATACAAACTTAGTGTTTTGTGACCTGTATTTGCCACTTAAAAGTGATATGAACTGATCCAAAGTAAGTAATCCCGCTGGAGACCTACTTGATGTTTATGTATTTTTTAATGACCTGTTATTTTATGCAGCAGTCGTTCTGCATGGTTATTTGATCTGCATGATTTAATTTTATTTCTCCCGTACCTATATTTTATTCTTCATTTCTAATGTTAGTCTTACCAACTTGGTTTGTTCTTGCGCTGTTAACGTGGAAATTATCAGCAAATGGAAAACCTAATGTTGCTTTTCTGTGAATTTTCCTTGAGAGTTCCTTACACTGAATTTTTAACTAATGCTGACTGAATGCTTTCGTTATTATACAGATATAACTTACTTCTTCTACGACTTGATGACTTGTGTTTATCCCTTTCAAGAGCATGCATTTTCACTTCCAAAATTGATTTGTTTCGATGTAGGCTGCTTATTAAAAAACACAGGGCACACAGTTTCAAATTAAATGTCTTACGAATTCAAATATCTTTTTAGATTCCATAATGAATTTAAACCAGTTCACAAACTATGGAAAAAATAAAGATGGTTAACTTTTTGGACTAAACAATGGTTCACACCTACAACAAAAAAATGTAACTTTATAATCATTTCATCATCACTGAGTAATATAGGTTCACGTGAGTCAGACAAACAATAAGAACAGTTCGTCATTTCAATTTCCTATTGTTGACGTACATCACTAACTAGCTTAAATGCAGTGGAAAAACTGCAGTATTGCACTGATCTGATAGGATAAAATTTTAATGTGTACTGAAAGCATTCAACTATTTATTTGATCAAGTAAAGAGGTATATTACAAATTTCTCTGAAACCGTGAGTAAAATTAGATTAATTTTAAAAGTGAAAACTCTTTATAACGTATGAACTGAAGTGATATTTAATATGAAATAGGAGTGAGACTTCAAATAACACTATGATTATCATACAGCTACGGGAAAGAATGTAGAAAAAGAATGCATAGATTGTTTGTAAAGAAAGACAATAGGAAAAATCACATATATAAAGTCTTACATGGGTTTGTCTTGAATTATAAGATTACTGAATGATTCAGGGTGAAATACATATCGTTTTTCCGCTTTTCTTAACGACAAATTGAAGTCTATCGAGGACGAAGCAGTTTCCGCAGCCTTCTGAAGAAATTTCCTATATAAAAGTAGAAAATTAAAAAGATATCTGAAACTATAAACGATAAATAGTCTATACAATAGATATCTTAAGTAAAAAACAATGCCCATGTGTTCTAGCTGCAGTAATTTTAGGGCTTTTGAGGTCATTTGAAGTTTAACGGGTTGTTTGAATGTGACATAATGCTGTTATAAATATTATTATAATTGTAAGAAACAAAGAAAATTGATAGCAACTAGGACGAATGTATGTTCCCGATGGTGTGTAAGTGATTGAAACTTTTACGATTCACTAATCAAAGAACGTTCTTCTTGAGAAGCTTGAAGAGGAAATCCATCATTCACAGTTTACTTGTGCACGTAATTATTTAATAATTCAGTATTGGTTCTTGTACTTTTTTAACTTTAATAATGACAACAAATATCAGTCGGACGAGAAAAAACCTACTGTTGCTAAGGTTAACCTTTTATGAAAATACAACACTGCTGGTGATGGAGACTGTCCGTATAGAACACTTTAGTAACGCAATACTACTGTTCAATCATGAACACTTAGTTTTCAATCCTAATATTAGCTGTTTTTGAATACATAGGTCCACCCGTACCCATTCTAGGGTTACTGTCAATCTCACGACTGAATGAACGAGGAGGGTTTGGCATAAGGTTATAGTAAAATCATCTTATGGAAAACAACCTTGCTAAAAAAACGCTAACCAGCGAAAATAATTCAAACCATTTAAATTCTACCCTGCTAGTTGAAGGATCTTCATTGAGAAGAATTAGGACATCTCATGATGAAGGCCAAGATTCTTCGGTAAACATGAGGCCGATTTCCCTGAGGTGAATGCTACTTATGTCTCTCGACATAAGTAGTACGTAACACCAATCAGAGATGAAATGCTTGGAAGCAGAAGGTTGAGAAGATCGAAATGAAGAGAGCAGGAATGTAAAAGTAAAGTAATTGTAATAACAACAGGAATGAAGAAACGGTGGAGTTTCTAAAAGACAATTGATGGATAATCTGCAAAGGAAGTATTTAGTGTTTAATTTTCATAGTTTAAGAAGATATTCTGTAAATCTGCATTGAACTATAAATTGGTCTTCCCCACCTGAGTGTTAGTTCACTAAGTCTCTTCCGACAACAAAAGCAACAATGGACATGGATATATGGAATGTCCGGACAATAACGGAAACCAGCAGGACCGACCAAACAGCTACGCAAATGAGGAGATACAACCTGTCAGGACCCAGAATAATTGGAACTCATTTGATTTAAACTGGATAGAAAAAATTGGATCCGGGGTAGACACTGCTGTGTTCAAGCCATGAAGGAGAAGTTGTAAAATACACACTGATGGTGTCCGAAGAAGCACGGAAAGCACTTATAGGGTGGGAATCGCTTACTTACTTACGCCTGTTAACTCCAATAGAGCATAGGCCGCCCACCAGCATTCTCCAAACTACTCTGTCCTGAACATTCCTTTCTAGTTCCATTCAATTTTTGTTCATTCTTCTCATGTCTGTCTCCATTTCTCCGCGCAATGTGTTCTTTCGTCTTACTCTTTTTCTTTGACCTTCAGGACTCCATGTGAGGGCTTGTCTTGTGATGCAGTTGGCTGCTTTTCTCAATATGTGTCCTATCCACTTTCTGATTTCTTCCTCCACTGCAATCTGGTTTGTTCTCTCCCACAGTAACTTGGTGCTGATGGTTTCTGCATCTTTTGGATGATGGCTTTCGTATTTCTCCACCTCTCCGCCCCATACAGTAGAACTGTCTTGACATTTGCATTGAAAATTCTAACCTTGGTGTTGGTTAACAAGTGTTTTGAGTTCCAGATGTTCTTCAATTGTAGATATGCTGCTATTGCTTTGCCTGTCCGCGCCTTCACATCTGCATCAAATCCACCGTTTTCATCAATGATGCTGCCCAGATATGTAAGGCTTTTTACATCCTCCGAAGCTTCTCTGTCATGTGTGATTCGATTGGTGCATGCTGTATTTTATCGGAGAGTCTTGCTTTTCCCTTTGTTTATGTTTAGACCTGCTGCTGCTGAGGCTGGTGCTAGACTGATTGTCTTCTCCTGCATTTGTTGTTGCATGTGCTATAGAAGAGCCAGATCATTTGCGAAGTCGAAATCGTCCAGCTGCATCCTAGCTGTCCATTGTATCATTTACTTCCCTCAAGATGTTGACGTCTTCATGATCCAGTCGATCATCAGGAGAAAGAGAAAGGGTGAGAGTAAGCAACCTTTTCTGACACCAGTCTTTACCTCGAACGAGTCAGTGAGCTGTCATCCATGCACGATTTTGCAGTTTAGTCCATCATAGGGATTCCGTATGATATTGACTATCTTCTCAGGCACGCCATAGTGTCGAAGAAGCCTCCATATTGTTGTCCTATTCACGCTATCAAATGCTTTCTCATAGTCAATAAAGTTGATGTAGAGTGATGAATTCCATTCAACTGATTGTTCCACAATGATCTGTAGGGCTGCGATTTGGTCTGTACACGATCAATCCTTACGGAATCCAGATTGCTGGTCTAGAAGTTGGGCGTCTACATAGTCCTTCATTCTGTTTAACAACACCCTGTTAGAGACGTTTCCTGGTATTGAGAGAAGAGTGATGCCCCTGTAGTTATCACACTCGCTGAAATCGCTTTTCATTGGTATCTTGATAAGAAGTCCTTCTTTACAGGTTGTTGTTACTTGTTCTTCATCCAAAATCTTACTGAAGAGAATGTGGAGTACATATGCAGTTGCTGCTATATCTGCTTCCAGTGCCTCTGCTAAAATGTTGTCTGGTCCTGCGGCTTTGCCGTTCTTGATTTGTCTGATGGCCATGCTGATCTCTTCAATTGTTGACGGGCCAACATCGACTAGGAGGTCCGTGTGTGCTACTTCGGTGTTGGGTGGGTTCAGTGGAGCTGGTCGATTCAAGAGTTCTTTGAAGTGTTCTACCCACCTGTTTTGTTTTTCTTCAATGTTTGTGATTACCTTGCTTTTCTCGCTTTTCACTGGTCGTTCTAGTTTACGGTAATTTTCAGCGAGCTTCTTTGTTGTGTCATACAGTTGTCTCATGTTTCCTTCTCTTGCAGTTTTTTCCGCTGTCACTGTTAAATCTTCCACATATTTATGTTTGTCGGTTCTGAAGCTCCTCTTCACTTGCTTGTTTACTTCTATGTATTTGGCTTGTGCCTTGGCTTTTTCTGCTCTTGTTCGACTGATATTGATTGCTGCCTTCTTGTTCCTCCATTCTTCAATCTCATCCAGTATATCAACAGTGATCCATTCCTTGCGCCTGTGATTTTTGTTGCCCAGAACATCCTGATATGTTAAAGGGATTGTCTCTTTTATCCCTTTCCAATTGCTGCCTTTTTGTTGACTGTAGTGCCCTCTTTCTTCGTTTTCAAGAAGGCTTGGTCCATGAGATTCCCAACCTATAAGTGCATCTTTTGCTTGTCTGGTAAGCATCAATGCAACTCCTTGTGTATGTGTGGCATTTTTTTCTTCATGGCCGGAGTAAAACAGAAGCTCACCTGAAGATAGACGTTGTTGTCCAACCTGAGTCCAATGTGTTTCACTGCTACCAAAGCACCTCCAGGTTGTATCTTTTCATTACTGCAGCAATTCGGAAGACTCTCTCGGTCTTCCACATTGTACGAGCATTTCATGTACCAATATAAATGAGTGCTATTGTTGTCAGAAGGGGCATCGGCATCGTGAATTCCTAAGAAACTCGGCTTTCACCATGAGGCGTCATATTTTTCTAAATAAAGACCTTCTGACTCCAAGGGCTGAGCTTAAATGGTTTGAATATTTTTTCCGGTTAGCGTTTTTTGCGAGTAAGTCTTCCACGTGATAGTGTCACTAACCCCACGCACAACCCTCCTCCTTTATCCGGGCTTAGGACCTGCAATAGCCCTCTGAAGGGCTACAGGCGGAGTTGGGTGGGAATCGCATAGATCCAGAATTGTCAAATCATCCTTCAAAACGAAGGAGGAGATTACAATGGATCCTATCCAATGCTATGCGCCTAACAATGATAGCAACGAACACTATGAAGATCGGTTTTATGACAGACTGCAGTTGATAATAGAGACGTGCCCAGGAAAGGACCTGACCATCCTGATGGCAAACTTAGTCGCCAAAGTCGGAATGGAAAACACCGGGTATGAATATATCATGGGATAACAGTGACTGGAAGAAAAGAACGAGAATGGTGAAGGTTTTTTAAAGTTACGTGCCTTCAAAAATATGTTTGTAGGTGACACTGTATCCCCCCACAAACGCATGCACAAACCTATATGGGTCTCACAGGATCACACCACTGAGAACCAGATCGATCGTATTTTCACCAACAGAAACATTTAGAAGGTCCATGAAAGGCGCAAGAACAAAGAGAGGAACTGACATGGTCTCAGATTACTACCTGGTTGTGGCCAGGATGAAACTGAAGCTAATGAGGTACTGGACACCTGGAGAAACACAATTTCGGAAATTTAACACAGCCTTCTTCCGAGATTTTAACGAACATAATGAATTCAAAATAGCTCCCAGGAACAGGTTCCAAGCCCTACAAGATGTACTCAAAGGAGAAAAACTGGCAAGGGTTTAACGAAGCACCAACTTCAACATCCCAGGAAGTGCTGGACTTAAAGGAACATCATCATAAAAAATGAATCTCTATAGAAATTCTGGACAAGATTTAAGGAATAAAGAACAAAAAGACGGCACTTAACGGCATTCAAACAAGAAGAGAAAGCCAAAGCACATCTGAAATATACAGAATCAAACAAGAGAGTCAAGAGTAATATTAGAGCTGACAAGTGGAAAAACGTAGAAGATCTAGTAATGGTAGCAAAAAAGCTTAAAGATAAGGAAATATGAGACAACTATGTGATACAACAAAGAAAGTAGCAGGGAAATATTGTAAACCAGAGCAAACAGTCAATGACAAAGTGGGCAAGTCAATCACTGAGATTTAAGAACAGTGGAGCATGTGGGTAAAGAACTTTAAAAAACTTGAGTAGTTTAGCCTCACTGAACCTTCCGGACATCAAAGCAGCACACATGAACTTACTTAAAAATATGTTACCCAACCAACAGTTGGGGAAATCAGTATGGCCATCAGAAAAATCAAGAGTACGAAAGCAGAAGAACCAGCTAACATACTGGCTTAGGCAATGAAGTCGTACATAGCAGTAACTTCAAAGATGTCCCATATTCAATTCAGAAAGATTTAAGAAGAAGAACTGGTGCCGAAAGACTGCAGCGGTGATCCTCAACATGCACAAGGTTAAAAGCAAGATCCCTAAAATACAACACAGACAATACTAACTCAGTCACACTTGATGCAGAGACACTGGAAGAGGTGAGGAATCCACGTATCCAGGCAGCATCATAGATAAACAAGTAGGATCTGACGCAGATGTAAAGGGAAAGATCGGTAAAGGGCAGCATTCCTAAAGTTGAATAACATTTGGAACTCAAAGCAACTTTTAACCTATATCAAAGTCACAATCTTCAATAAGGACGTCAAGACAGTTCTCATGAACGGGGCTGGAACGTGGAGAACTACTATAATCATAAACAAAAAAGTACATGTATTTTATAAACAATTGTATGCAAGATACTCAATGCCCGTTGGTCGGATACCATCAGCAAGAACCTACTACGGGAGAGAACAAACCAGCTTCCAGCCGAACAGGAAATGGAAAACATACTGAAGGCGAATAGATTACAGAGCACAGAAATCATTAAGACGTATCACTAGGCATACAGTAACTTGCAATACTGAGGAAAGATGGAAAAGAGCAGAACCAAAGAGAGAATAAGACCGGGAATTAGAAACAGACACTAAAGGAATGAATAGCATTTAAAAACTGATGAAAAGAAGAGCTCAGTACACAGTTGGTTATAGAATTTCAGTCGGCGGCTTATGTTCCAGCGAGGGGTAACAGGCATAAGTAAGCAAAGCGAAAATATTAACCAAGAACAATCCATTGTTAGGTTGGATAGATTTGCAATGAGAGCAGTGCATTTTTATTGCTGTCAAGTTAGACCATCAAGTTGTCAAACACTGACGGGTGTTTTGGAGCATAAAATAAAACAGATAACTCACTGGAATTTCTGACTGAATGGCTGAGACCATCTTGTAAAATAATCTTATGATGGTTCGAGTTACACTCGGTTTTTTGACAAGGATTATTCAAATAAAATGGCCCAATCGAATAATATTCATTTGCAGTAAAGATAGACGTTTAAGCTCGAGGCTATAAGCCATTTACTAAGTTAATTTATCATTTAAAAACTGAGCAAATGACTACAAAATACATCAAATATTGTGATAGGTGAATTGGACAACAATGCCGCCAAACAATTAGAACCTTAGACTATCAACTTAATCAAAAAAGATAAACGAGGTGAGAAGTAAACCCCAATAATGTATGAGGTTATGAAAAGTAACGAGTCAGTTAATATATAGGGGCGAGTACATATTAACACTATTAGACCGATAGTAAAAAAACTAATTAGATAGAAATATACTGACATTTCAAAATGGGTAAGACTGTCATCTGACCCACACTTACTTTAATAAAGTTGGACCACTACTGCTTAAATTCGTCGAATTCCATGAATAATTCTTACTACCATTGGTGTGTATATTCATATTATCCATTTTCAAGTCTCCACAGTTCTTAATCAAGCATTCGGATGCCAAAATGTGTGCAAAAATACTGTAAATCAATTTTTATTAACAATAGCATTTAAATGACAAATAAAAGCCCTCTTTAAAAATTTATAATATAGTAATCTTTATGTGAATACGGAATTCAATTGTCTCCTGCGGTTTAAAAGTTTACGAGTAAGGGAAACGAAAACACATAACAAGCGAATTAGGTTTAGCGTCCAGCAGTTCTATTCGATCAGTCAGTCATATGTAACGTGAAGCTCGGAACATACGTGCATTGACACAAATAGAAACAGCAAATCAGCACAAAGAGATGCCAGAGTGGAATAGACAATAGAAAATTTTGTGGTAGTATGAATAATTAAGTACACTATATATAATTCAAGAAGGAAATATGCGTTAATAAGATAAAATTACTTTCGAGACAATTACGAAGCTTAAGATGTAATTGGTGACAAATTAAGATTAACTCTGATATCATACTTACTCTAAGCTCTACATTAATTATTGACTTATTGATTGAAAATGAGGTAGTGCAAACATTTTACAAGAGTCCATCAGTTTAAATGACCGCACTTCGATTTGCTGCAATAACTAGTTGTAGAACACTACTGATTAGGAGTTGAGTAGCTCTAAAGACGTAAACGAAGTATTAATCACATTTTTGAAACAAGGTAAAAATATAACACATTACCATTTGATATGTGAAGCTAGTATAAATTTTAAGGGATAGAGTTAAAGATCTCAAAAAACGGTAACCTTGTTTTCACACATCACTAAAAGAAACACTACACCGCTGAAACTTTGAAATAAAATCGGAATCTGAAACATGTCTTAACCTAACTAGATTTGAGAATAATGAACTATTAATTGGTGGATTTATGTATGAGTATTTAGGCTTGTAATTTCTACCTTCAAGTAAATGATATGATCACATGCTGAAGTTGACAGATGATTAAACTCCATCGGCTATGGACGTTAAACGAAATGGTTTGTAATTGTTCCACATGGTACAGACGCATTAATTCTTTATTATTTGAGGTTTTAGTATTACTTCATAGGTTAATTGAGTAAATTCCTTCCATCTTCCTAAAAACATATTATTACGATGGTTAAACATATAGAAAGATTATGATCAACCTGTCTTGAGCGAATAACAAGACTTTTATGACATGAGAGCGATGACTTGAGATAAGGTATATACTTATTTTACTTATTGGATCAAAGTGGCCGTATTATTTTCCTGAAGAATTCATGGGTAGCTATACGGATCACATTTATATGATTATTTCGAAACCAAACAATCCACAACAGCACATGAAAAAGGACTAATGAGTATAACTAAGAATCAAGCATTATTGTTGTTTTCTGTAATCTAAAACTGTCAATTGAAGACAGTGGTGAAGTGATGAAACTTTGTCTTGAATGAAACATAATGAACTTCTAACAGTTCCAAACCTTAGCCGTTGAAAACAAGTTATTGTCACGTTACTGAAGCAATAACGGAATTACATGTTTGAGACATGTTTCCCAATTTAGGTTCCTACATTTAGGAGCATTTAGATCCACATACTTACATTTTCTCTTAAAACACGGGTTGTAACTTGCGACCAAGAACCATATTGCATAAGCTAAGGCTTAGAGAGAATGAATTGATTTTTTGCCCACTGTCTAATTTATTGTTCATCGTTAGTCGTGAGATTCTGATCACTTGAATTGATAATCAGCTGGCTTTTAAAACCTTGACACTTGGTAACGTAAAACGATTTATAATATCCCAATAAAGCAATTGAAAGAGAAAAAACGCACTTGATTTTCCGTACCCAATAAGCTTTACTATAAGTAAAGCGTTACAAGAAGCGTCAAGGTCAAACTCAAATTGACACTGTTAATTACACTCTGAAATCGACACAATCTAACGCTAAACCATTCGTTTGCACAGTGAATCATACTACATAACCCAATATTTAAAGACCATGTCGTATACTCTTTGCCTTTTTTAATAAATATCTGGCGTATTTAAGCTATGTAGACATAAAATAACTTAAAAAATCAAATATGAGAGATTGAAGATGCTAAAGGTATTGTAGATTGACAACGCTCTAACCAGTAACACCTTTTATTATGAATCGTACCCATCCAGTGAAGTCAAAAGACAGAAGCTAAGAGGTTCGAAGATATATTTGATAGGTTATCAGTGTATCGTAGATCGACTGATTTAACCTGGTTAACTATTGTAGGAGAAGTTGACCACGGCGTTCCCACTCGTGATCTGGTGTAGATGCATGACCGAGCTACTTCAGCTAGGTGAGTCCATTAGGACTAATTTGATCAGCATCCAATGTTGAACACTTACAGAGCTATTTCTTCTGGGGATTTGATTACCGCCACGAGAGGAATCCAACATATGTGGGTCATTTGTGAAGAGTTAATCCAGAGAGATCGATTTCTTGGCTCTTAGATCTTTATTTCGGAGAACGGTTGCAGGTATTTCATGGTATCCAGTGAGTTTAAGCAAGATAGGTTCACATATGACTCTATAAATCACAGCCTTAGCGACCATGAAATTGTGCAGTTTTTATGTTAACATAACACGTATTTACTTTGTCTTGTTAATTGCCCCCTAATGTTCGACAGTCATGTTTTTATCGCTCTCATTGTAACTTGTAGTAGCGTTTTGCGTTTTTGCGCTAACTGTAGTAGTCTGTCATTAAAACGGAACATATCCACGGGTTATATATATATATATGTATATATATATATCATTACCTGTTTCAACTAAAGACCTACTCAGACTCAGTGGGAGACAACATTACGACTTGTTCCGAAAAGTTTACATACAGTCAAATGAAATCCTATGATATTTATTGAGAGAATATAAATCTCTCATAGTGTTCAATGTTTGTGTGATTTCTGATACTTCCGGATTATGTGCCAGCGCTGCGTATAAGGATGTACTCCTGATTGTGAAATTTACCTAAATTATTTAAAGCTTCATATATATTTCCTAGGAAAGGGCTACTGTAGAAGACCACAACTTCCTTGATGAAAAAAGTGAATGAGAAATTCAGATGAAATCACCATTGAAAATTATTGCTTGTAGTAGAAAATTCAGAAACTAAATTCAAAGGAAATATCCTTCATATTCACATATTAAACATTAATAAAGAGATTCTCTACACGTATGGTTCCCCAAATCTTATGATGTTACACATATCGTTTATATACATGAGAAACAAGTGTGGACCTAATACACTTCCCTGGATGACGCCACTAGCTATTGGTCTAGGTGATCAGAAACAGTCAATGTACGTTGCCATTTTCTTTACGTTGCTTTAAGCATCAAGCAAACCATGAATAGAGTGGGTTGTTGATGCCAAGGGACCGTAGTTTGACTAGAAGCCTTTTGTGTGGGACCTTATCAAAAGCTTTCTTAAAATTCAAAAATATGACTGATACAAGTATTCTGTTGTCTTGTATCAGAGTTATATCATTTGTGTAGTCTACTAGACATGTATTACATGATCTGGACCTAAGAAATTCATGTTGTAAGACCTGCACGTTTAAGCATGCAAGCCGGAGTCCCATCTGATCCATCAGTGTAAGAGTGTTTCAATGTGAATAAGAATTGTCACAAGTAACGTATAATGTTTGCTGGTCACTTGCATGCAGATACACGACTTGGAATTTCCAAAGTCATGTCCCTCATTTTCGCCGGAGGTTATTTCTAATTTTATCGATGAAAAAACCAGACCAGCGCTCGGATAGGTCTTTATTTAGATCATAAATCACGGCAGTTGGAGAGCGAGGTTCTATTTTTCGAAAACTAACTTTTCAATACTCAGTATAAATAATAAGACATCTAGTCCTTAAACAAAATAAGGATGTAAAAGAACATTTGAGCTAATGTTTTGATATTGCCCAGAAGTTTTCTGCCAATTCACGGCTAGTCAACCTTAGTTGCTACCGGTCTTCTCTCGTCCGTTTACTTAACCAACACGAGGTCACGTTAGATGGTTTCATATTTTCTCGAATTAGCTTCGTAGTGTCAAGCTGCATAAAACAAGAAGGAGCGAAATCATTTTGAGTAGTTTCACGGGAATATCAACTACATCCACTCTGTGACTGATGAAGATCAGAATCTAGTCTGAAGTTAAGTGGTCCGTATTAGGGTTAAAATTCCATCTGTCTCAGTTGGAAAAAGACGTTCCTACGAAGAATGAAATGGGGTGTAATTAACTGTCCACAATCACTGACTCAGGCAACAATTACATCAAGTACTTACTCCAATACGACAATAGTGGCACACTGTAAATTAAACTTTTCAAAAAAGGGTTATCGGGATAAATATCTCTATAATTTTGTGGGATACTCTCACTAGCACCGAACGCCAAACAGGAAATGTCTATCCTGCATGACAAAACCGCTAATGAGGTCACAATATACCGATGCAAGCATCAGTAAACGGAGTGTTAGAAAAACCGTAAAAGAAAAATGGTCCAGAACCTTAGAATAACGCTTGGTTTTCTTCCTTACACAAATGAGTTGTTAATTTGCGTTAGACAAATATCTACACCAAATACCCTTCCTGTGTCTACTCCACATGACTTCAACACTACTTAGGTCAAGAGCATGTGACTGGCCTGACTGGACAAAAAAACAGTCATAATTTTTCTCGCCCACACGTCATACATCACCTTTGACACCAGTCGGTAAATCAGAGCCTTTCTATAAAGGTGTTATTTATTAAAAACCATTTGAACCACCTGAAGTTTTTTCCTGGGTGTTGAAGGAGAAATGTTATAATGAATTACGTAATTCTTTCCAAGCCATGGGATCGGTGCTGATTCCAAAGATCTCCTCAACAGTAAACCTTCGGGTATAAGCTTCCTTACAATGCTTAAAATTAGAACAGCTAACTAAACAATCAGACACGACTTGGCAGCGTCTGAATTGAGTGAAACTCCTGAGGTACTGTGCGTATAAAACCAAGTTATTTCCAAAAACCTTATTAACATGAAAACTCCTTTGATTAGTAATATTTTCACCTAAGTAGTAAAAGTAGTTTCAAGAAACTCCGTGATAAGCTCAAAATAATTCTGATATCACCAATAGATTGAATGGTATGTAATCTGGTTGAAATGACGGAGTATTCATTGGGATTCATAATCCTAAGTGGATTGACACAAATATATATATATATATATATATATACAACAATATAAAATTATGGAAGTTGAAAAATCAAAATTTCATACATAAAAACCATACTAAGGCATAAACATAACGGAAAGGTAAATAAGTCAGTGCGTTTTCAAATCTTTCCGCCGTTGCCTTTTTGCGACCTTGAACAGCCTGACACGAGGCGGTCATTCCGTATTTGATTTGTTGAGGGTCGGTTGTTTGTTTTTGGGTTGCACGAATGTCAGGTTTTCTCGTATTTACGTCGTTTTTGGCTGTAGTAAATTCTCAAAGTCAGTGCCAAAAGCGTTTATTTAACTTACTCTGTTTTGTAATGTGCAGTTTGGCTGTCTTGTAGCTTCGTAACTTGACCTGAGATACCAATTACCCAACTGAAACTCACTCTCCTTGTTTAAAATTTATAGGGGTCCACAAAACTGCGTATGGAGTATAAATTGTCAGTAAAAGATACTCTGAATTTGTGTGAATCGTTGTTTTTTGCAAGAATTAAGACAACATGACGAGTAACCCGTAAGTCCTGAATGTTTGTAGTCCTTCCTTCAGTTACTGAAGGATTATCGCATGAAATAGCTGTTTTTCTGATAATTAACGAGTGATGTTTGTAGTGATTTATGTTCCAGAGACATTTTGATCGGCCCAAATGAAGCGTTTCAACGCATAATACTGAGCAGGCGTTTTGGAATTTGGATTGAATTCGTTAGTGTGTTTATGGAGTTCCAAGAAGTATGGATGCATAATCCTATTCCTTCTCAGACTACCCATACGCATTACATTCACGGCGAAAGTAAACTGCTGAAGGACGTGCGATTTGAGTACAGTTTTGTGGTGTTTCATTGCATATTTTTGGTCATCAGCGTAAACCACAAGTTCTATCAGTGAATAAAAAAGCGTGAGAACTTTAGCTAACATGTGACGTTTAAGGTCTAAGTTTCGAAACTACCAATCAAGGTTCCTTGTGAAATTGGACGGTGATGAATATGTTATAATGTCACACAATGCTTCACAATCATCCGTGTAGTAGCTCATGGATGCTTTGCGATCCATGGACCAGAAAGTTGTCCGTCGAAGAAAAAGAAAAGTTGAAGCCCGTGGTACTACAATCAGCGTCAGTAGAAGAATTAATAGAATGTATTAAATACCGAACTGGTAAACAGGTTACTGCAGCTGATGTGAAGACTTTGAGAGCTCAACTCTCCACAGGTAATTGTGTAAAAGTATATTTCAGGTTGTTATACACCAATGCAAGTATCAGTACTTACAAATCATCAATAACTAGGTAAGACTGCAATTTCTCAAACATTTCTATTAATAATAATAATATATTTCTGCAATAGCAGGTACACGCCATTTTTACAGGCATGATCTACAATTTACAACATATACTGGTTCACAGTACTCATCTCAAGCAGGGTTGTTTAGTAATTATAATCTACAAACGTTGATAGCAGTTCATTCGTTCAGATATAATGTGTTTTCATAAGAATAGTTTTCAAAGGGGCATCGCGTCCACGTTACGTACCAGATCCATTCTCGACAAAAGGTGCATTAGGGTTTCGGTCGAGCTAAGTATTTATTTAAGTTTATAGTTGTTATTCGTACAGTCCTCCTTACGATCAGTATATTCGAATGAATAATTGGAGTGGCATTGTTTCCTAATCACATGGTCTCCAGAGCGAAGCATATAATAACTAAAAAGATGTAACACTTAGAGAAGGTCGGCAGTAGTGAACGTGGAGATATTCATTCAATCAAATGGCATGACTCAGTGTTACAGACGTGCTCATTATGTTTAACTTATTTATGTTCACATTAAATATATTATTCTATCCCAAGCATGAATGTGCTCTTCAGATGTATTAAGTATTATTGTTAGTCACGATACGATGAGTCAGTGTAGATGGTGATGCGATGTTCACGTAAGATCTTACAGACTAGGCAATCAAACGGTAAATTTACCGTTATCGGACAACGTCTATTAGCAAAGTAGTATTTATACCGAACTAGACTAATAATAATAATTTATTCTCAAATAACAGTTTGTTACATGAGGCATGCCGGTTTACAGGCAAGACCAAATTGTTACAGAAGTTACAATTTTCACTGTTGAGAATTACTCAGCTGGGTTGATATTTCATAAGATATGAATGTAAATGGATTTCGTAAGGAACATGTCAATATCACGCTTGGCGCACTTTATGGAGGTAGCGTTGCGACATACAACTGATGGTCGAGAATAGATACATGTGAAGTTGGGGGCTTTTAGGAGTTTCGAACTTATATCCCTCCGGAATATCGGAAGCTTTAATAACGGTGTAGGACAAAGTCACCAGTGCCATATTTGTTTTCAGTGGAGTATCTGCAGGAGGCTGAAAAAGGTGTAAGAAAAAGGAAGGACAAAAAGCAGAGCCTTGTAATTGATGTATATTATCATGTAACATTTGAGTCATAATATACATAGGGTAAATTGGATAACCTTTCTCGTCTTCTAATTGGAGAGGCTAATGGCAGAAAGAATTAGCCTTGGGATGTTAGCGTTAACATATCCGACTGGTATTGGCTTTGTTGACTATACACATACTAAAAAAATTTAAAGTGCGAAAAACTACAGTTGTTATATTTAGATTACTTGTTAGATTAATAAACGCGGTAGTAATCAATACAAAACACAGTTATCGTCAATGTGTAAATTGTTTCTCCGCGTAAACTTCCATATTAAGAAATTCGCCAAATTGTTCACCTGCATAGACTTGATTATTACAAAGATTTGAGCCTTTCAATTAGTTGACAGAAGTCATAAGTTGTATAACGAAAAATGTATAAATAACTTGCCCAATGCAATTCTGAAAAACAACAAATCAATCGTGAAAGAAAAGATTAAATCTCGTTATCGGTATCAAATTCAATAGGTAAATGAAATATCAATTGATAGGATGTACCTGTAAGTGTTTTACTTGCCGTAAACAGTGCTCTTCATTTTCTAACCTTCTTACAATTTCGTCTAATTATTCGGTATTAACAAACTTCAGGCATCAAATGAAGGTACTCGCAAACTTTAATTAGTTATATGAAATTTGAGAGAAATCCAATTGCAACGTTCATAATACTGTTTGCAGTTCACTGTTTACATACAATAATGAAATAACTGGTAAGCACTATATAGCGATTGCTCGTCAACACACATTAACACTTTGTTTATGAATTGGTCAGTGATTTCAGATTCTATTAACAGACATATTTTAATCCTATACGAGACATCGTAAAATATTATTATCTACGATATGTTTTATTTACCATGCTCATAACAAACACGCATCGCTTTATTTAAGAAGAGTATTTGGTTAACTTATGTGGAACTTACAGTAATGTTCTACACAATTCCTGTACAAATTCAGAAAGCGGGCAGAAAAATCTATCAACACCAATTGTTATTCGCATAATTTTTCTTTCTCACATTATGTAATAATATATCAGCCCAGTTGACAACGATGATACTTATCATGGATAAAACTGTTTACGGCTATATATTAATAGTTCATATCGTAATGTAATGGTTCACATCACCCCAATTTTCAAAGGAGGTCGACGCAGTGAACCCTCAAGCTACCGACCAGTGGCCCTTCTCTCCATACCTTCTAAAATTATGGAATCTCTAATATACGATGGTGTGCAAGAATACTTATCATCCTTAAAGTTCTTCTCAACTCAACAGCATGGTTTCAGAAAAGGTCATTCTTGTATAACCAACCTACTGACTGCGGTGGATAGATGGACAACCACCCTTGATCGCAAGGGGAAGGTTGACGTCATTTACCTTGATTTCTCAAAAACTTTTAATAGGGTCAACCACGTATGTCTTATCAATAAGCTTAGACGGTTGGGTATAAAACCCTCTTTGATTGACTAGCTCACTTCATATCTAGAAAACCGACATTTTAAGGTCAGGGTTAACTTCACTCTCTCTCAGGCTATGGAATGTCCTAGTGGGGTCCCCCAGGGCTCAATACTAGGACCTCTTCTTGATTTACATAAACGATTTACATAAACAAGTTTCAACTGACTTATTGCTTTTCGCTGATGATGTTAAACTTCGGAGGGAGATACGTAACCATAAGGATATACTAGTACTTAAGGAAGATCTGACCCGACTTCAAAGTTGGGCAGACGACAACGGACTTACCTTCAACATTTAAGTGCAAAGTAGTCCATCTGCGACATGTTGCAGACTACAGTTACAACTCAGAAAACTCCTCCCTGGGAGTATCCCAAGTTGAAAAAGATTTAGGAGTGTTGGTACCCTATGACCTGAAATCGTATGCGGACTGTGACAAAAACGCCTTTCAAGCAAACCTTGCACTGGTAACATTGAAGCGCATTTTTGGCCAGTTTGATAAAAGAACCTTACACATAATCTTCAACAGTTTTATTCGTCCCCATTTACAGTACGGAAACAGTATTTCCTCCCTTCAAAAGGATAAGGATACTCTGGAACGTATCCAACGTCGAGCCACGAAATCAGTTCGGGGACTCAAATTCAAGCCTAATAAAGAGCGCCTCCAATCACTTAACCTTTACCCGTTAGAGTATAGGCGTCCCAGAGGTGACCTTCTTATGACATACAGTATCCTTAACACTTCTGGTCATCCCCTTAAACATCTTCTTAAGCTTAGTCACAACACTAAGCTAAGGAGTAACACCCAGAAACTGGAGACCTAACATAGCAGAACAGACTACAGACACAACTTCTACTCCGTTAGAGTTGTCAAATGCTGACATTCGCTGCCGACTGAGCTAGTTCGAGCGACTTCCCATGAGTCCTTTAAGAGGAAACTTGACTTATTCTTAAGGACTAAGGATAACATCATGATTTACCAAATTCTTTTTTTCCTCTATCATCGTTATTATACCTAGATTTTTGCCTAGAGGTATTGGTGATCCACTGCTACTGGACACGGAAGCCCGTTAAGCGAAAGTTTCTTCTGTTCCGTCCACAACCATTTGAACTATATATTGGCGTTCACTAGGAAGCAGGAGCGATTTGAAACAACAACACTACAGTCAGGACCGGTAAGTGCCGTTGAAGTAAGAACACAATGTACTGGCACAACAGATATATTTTTAAAATTGAAAGACACGGTTCGAGTACAAAAGGGGAAACTTACTAAAAAATAGTTTCATCCATTTTTCTGCTCGTTCAGATCGCGTAGGCCTTCTTCATCTTTTTCCAGTGCGTTTACTCTTTGTTGCCCTGCAATAGAAAAACAAACTCGCATTAGAAACATCGCAGAGAATGATTATTATTACCATTACAAGTTTCATGAATAGTTTGACTGTCAACTGCTTCAATTACAATTTATAAAGAACTACCAACACCCATGTTCATCATCACCATAATAAGGGAGGTGAGCCATATGTCAATTATTTTACAGCTTGTTTTTGCTTGAAACTATAATTTCGGTCTATTTTTGACTTGATAAATGATGAATTTTACTTGCCTGAGTTTGCATTGTTACAAATTACCAAGTTAGGCTGGCTAAACATTCATCCAGGTTGTCAGCTCCAAATACGTCAGGCAACCAATAGACTGCAATAAACGCCATGTAACACTCATAAATATTAAAAAATTAACATGTGACGGAAAAATACTGCGATTAGCCGATAAAAAACGACATTACAAATCCGCGACAACATGTAACACATAAGCGAGAATCAATGACATGACTTTTCGACCATGCCAAGCATAACTGAAAAATGTGACTCAATCGTTTGGTTAAGCGCCGTTTTATGGCCTATGATTTTTGACAGTAGATGACATTGTCCGATTTTTGAAATGATGTTAGAAGAGATTAACTTTCAAAGTGCTCTCGTGGTGAAATTAAGCAGTACCAATTTGTTTATATTCTTTCAAGTCATTCCGTTAATGAATAGTGAACGTTCGACTCTATTTCGTTACTTGTATGTGTTTCCACGAGCCACCATCCTAGTTGATGTTGAGCTAAAATAGTTTTATCATATTGATAAGTTTTATTGACATATATCAGTAGTACATTTTCCTGCGATTTTTATTGAAAGTTTTCTGTGTTCAGTTAATCAGCACCAAAGTTATATTCCTTTCTATTAAACCTCTTCGTCCTATTAATCACTAAACATTTGCGTAAAGAAATGTCCGCTACTTTTTTCATGTTCTATATATTACATTCAAACTGATATTTATGTCTTTGTTTCATCAATAATATCTTTTATATGGTTCTTTGTTTTTTTTCTGCACCATCCCAAGTAATATGGCTTGTCGAAAAGGCTCTTTATTTCTATTGTTCATTCAAACAAGTGCATTTAGTTGCAGCTCCTTATATTTAATGTTTCTTAATCATCACATATGACTTCCTATATGGGAAAACATGACGTACTATTAGTAGAGAACTCATTCTCCAGGGTATTGAATTCGATGCACCAACAAAAATAAAAGACGAATGAATGACCGCTCAAAGCTAGAAAACAGCCTTAAAGTCATCCTACAACAGCTTAAATCTTTCAGATCGACTATCCCGAGTGACTCAGTCTTCGCTGAATTGAGGGACTCAATCAATTATGTGATTCTTCAGTCTAAAAAGTGTTTAAAAGTCGTACGAAAGTGTTTGTCGATTGATAACTGCGATTGCATTTTAGACGGATAGCAGCCTTGTGAAATGCAAGAGAGAAATTTCAACCCCATGCTCCGACATTGATTCTCCACATATCCCAAAGGGTTGGTGCCAAGCATTTATTTATGATTTACTACTTAGACTTTTGTTCTCTATCCCTTCCTCATGACCATTTTTATTCAGGTCTTCTACCCGACGATCTCGATGGAAAAGATATTCAAAAACTGCAAGGTAGTTCTCTACTTATTTTTCTGTCTATGTATGCATTTTATCGAAGGCATTACGAAATTCAGATATTTACTCACGATCTTGTTTAATTCAAACTCGGTCTGAGATATTGAAATTTATTGAATAGTCTATAAAATTAGTATATTTCAATTTTTAGGTGACTTATGACTGATTATCTAATAAGTTTCGAGAAAGGCTCACATAATTTCTCAAGCGATTCCATCAGATCCAGCTGGGCGTTCTTTTTAAACAGAAGGAACGTTTAGTGCTTAAATATTAGAATAAGCGAATGATAAAAATCCTTGTTTATGACTGGAAACGCTTGAAATAAAGAAGTGTCCTACACCTAAACTTCAGAAATAAAAGCTTCGTTAGGTCTTCCGCTGACATTAACGAGAACAGTCACTAATGAAGAAAGTAGTCACTTCCATCCACACATGGCTTATCCGTTTATTGGATAACGACTTTAAGTGATAGACTAAAACATTAGTTTTCAAACGAACATACAAGAGAAAATGCCCTGTAAAATAATAAAAAAATAATAAAAATAAAAGGTTTCGCGGGTTTTCTACTTGACATTTAGCACTAGTTAACCACAATAAATGAATTTATTGTTCTTGTTTTTTGCACACCAACTTAACGTCTTAAGATAACTTGCTATCTATGCTGCTTACATATACAGCTAAAATGTTACTAACACGTTTATGAAAAATGCTACTCCTATAGACGAATTCGTACAGTAGGATTAAATCTGACATTAATTTGATTTGAAACATGACCATTAAATAACTCTGACTATGATGATCGTGAGTAGCCTTCCACCCTCAAATATCTACTGGGATATCCCGGTCATTTTATCGGTCCAAATAATATGCAGGTCTGAACATAAACTTACATGTAAGCATAAAAGATCTAAAAACCCACCCACAGTTTGCTTAGTTTCAAGTTAGATTTAATTTCTGACTAAGTTCATATAAAACTACCGAAAACCATCAGTGAAGATTTAGTCGGTTTTGATTTATGAACTCTTATTTGGTTCAGTCCGTTTCATAAGATAATCACCAAGTACGTAGATTTACAAAATTGTTCACTATAATGTGTGATTTCAAAGCCTCCCTAAAAAATGACATAAAATTCAATTTTGTTGTTAATTTAACTGATTACCATTTCAGGTAAAACTGCTTAATTATGTAAACTTTAGGAATCTAAATTGGAAAAATGTTTTACCATTTTTCCTTTGTAATACATTGTGCTTATTATCGATACGTTGCTATTTGCTTTTTGCACTAAATCAATACCGTAACCTTAGATGGACACTCACATCCGATGGCCGTTTACTTCATGTTTACAGGATGCTAGGTAAAAACGTTTTGCTTGATTTAGATAAATTTCTTCTGTCATCCTTAATAACTATGGAATAAATATCAGTCATAGGACATCTTAATCAACTTGGCGTTTATCCTGATTTAAAGGAAATATTTAAAAAAGTATTGCTATCGAGTTTTTTCACATTTTAATTGTGATTGTATAAAAGTTCTGCCACAACTCCGAATAATCTGGAGGCTAGAGTGTTATGAAATTTATACGTGCCTACAGGTTATAACTTCGATCTATAGTCATAGATTTATGTATCGCTTAGGCTATTTGATGACAGCAATTTTTGTCCTGAACATGAAATCTATCACCAAATTATTCTAAAAGCCATAAACCTGTATGCTTTTTATTACCATAGTCAATAAAACAGCATATATCCAACACTGAAAAACTTATTAACACTCGAAAATTCAGTGATATCACTTATCTTAATATCACAGTCATTACAAAATATATACCAGCTGATATCTTAATTTACTAATGAGTTACTGCCCAAGTATCTAGAATCTATCGTTCTCGATTAGAATGACTGAGTGATATTATTTGAAGCGTTCATCAAACCTAATGCTTTTGAAGTGCTTTGGTCGAATGTTTATTTAAATGTTCGTCAAGCGTAAAACGCAGATGAAATTCGATCTACCAATGAATTATCAGGACTATCAATTATTCAATGCCCTTCTAGCAAATCTACCGATTACATTGTGAAGTTATTCAATAAAAATGAGTCATTACTATGGATTAATTGACCGAATATTATTAACAAAGCGGTAACGGTTAAAGTGAAGTAACATATCATTAAAAAGTTTCTGCTCCTTACTGTTTTTTCTCTCGCTATAACGTTCTTGTATTTGTAATCATGTGTTCAATAAAAAAAGCATTATTATTTGATTATAATCTCCCATTTTAAATATTATTTGCTCCAAACAGACAGAGAAATAGATGAAATTGTATTTAAGCTAAAGCAAAATGAATTAAACAGGAATTTTGTGAGAAGTGGAAAGAAAACTAGTCTTCACTATGCGGCTTACTGGGGCTCACAAACATGTGTTCAAGTATGTTATAAATGCAGTTGTTTTTTAGCCATTTTACATTGTTCCATGTACAATGAGTGACAAATATTGGTAGCCATGAAAAGATGAATAAGTTTATTTTTAAAAGGGTCCTTCTCTTAAATAGCATTTTTCAATAAAATCTATGATAAATGTGTATTCTCACATATCTTTCACTTTTGAGTCTGGATTACAGTAACTCCATTTCAGTGTCATGAAAGTGAGATTTTTCGATGTTGACTTTTTGATGCTTGCGACCATATCTTTAAGATGAATTCTAGTTCAGCTGTGAGTGTTTACATATTTTACGATGATATATTAAATTGACTTATTTTATCTGGATCGTGGTATATATGTTTTGCCTATGAAGTAAAAGAATCCACGGAAGAGCATACTTTAGCACTATCTCTTCTGTAGCTGTATGTTCATATATATAACTACCGAGATTACATGTAGTAACGCTACATTGAAACAATAATGGTATTTTCAACATAAAAACTCACTTTCACGAATACAAACAGGCTTATAACGGTTTTTGGGGCTACTAAACTAAAAGCGAATGTAAGCCATCCAGGTGGATGAGGATTGTTTCTAAGAGACGTGTATGTTGTTACTGTTATAGCTACTCAGTCAGTTAGCTACCCTACAGAAAGTGAATTGGAAAGTAGATGTCTAGTAGTAAAGTTAGCTCATCTCTAATAAATCCACCCACCAGTTTTAAACTCAAAAACATATTTCCAAGCTCAGGATAAAACATCTCAAAACGTGAACTCACACTGAAAAATAGTACATATTGCTATAAGCAAATAAATAGCTCCGTTTTCTTAAAACAGAAAAATCATCATAGAGAAATGAATACTAGTGTCGTAAAGTGTAGGAGCGGTATTTAGCCCTTAGTCATTTGTTTTGACAGCCAGATAAAAATTTCTCACGTATGTGACTAAAACTGGCGTCAGGTACATAATGGGTCAAAGATAATGCACAATCATTGGAGAACGGTTTAAAAGGCTCATGCAAGAAATGAATGAACTTATTACTATTTTTGAATAGAAATAGGCACAACCACTAATAAAAGCCGTTTTAAGAAGAAATTACAAAAAATGATCTTTTAACAGAAACTTACTATCTCTTCTACATGACCAGTTATTTCTAGCATACATAGCAGTGAATGCCAATCAACGTTGCTGTAAGAGTACTCAATTTTCTCAGGAAATGTGTTAGACGGTCAAAACTAGTTGTTAGAGAAATTTAAACATGGATTCCATTTGAGTTGATACTCTTCAGAAAGCTGTGAATGGAAGCCTAAGGAAACTAACACTACCTGTTTAATTCCAATGGACATCACGTTGCTTGACAGTCTGAAACAGTGTCTCTCAGGTGTTAGGGCTACAAGTGAATCCTTATAGGAAAAAGATATTTACAATGGTTATGACTGAGTAGTGACCAAGGTCATTTCTTCCCAGCCTGAATGGAACCCCAACATCAAGCTCCGACTCCCGATGAAGTTGAAAATACCATCGCTAATTTAAAATGAGGGAGAGGAGAATGCCCGGATCGTTTAAATTCTGAGGTTTTTAAGTATAGTGGTTCAATTTTCGCATCTAGGCTGAGATATTGACTAGGATTTAAGAACTGAACGTAAACCCATCTGACTGATCTCAACCGCTGATTGTTCCATTTTATGAAAAATGACAAAACGACTTCAAATAGCCAAATCGGAATCAGTTTGAGTAATATAGTGTCCGAGATATTAGTCTCGTGAATAGTGAACCTGCGTGAACCAGACTAACTTCAGACTTGGATGTGAGTATGTAGATCAAATATTCGCCCTTCGTTGGATTGGATGTCTGATGAAATTTTTGTATTGATTCAGTAAGCTTGGTTAGCTTTTGCAAAGGTACTTCTCTTATGACGTAGGAGACATTTGTCTACCAATTAAAAAACATGGACATTATACAGCATTTCATTCCGTTTCTGTTTATAGCTTTGAAACGTTGCTTTCAAAAGTAGATATTCGTAGATTACTAATATTTGACAATTGTTTCCTTCAGGGCATGGGTTCTGTGTGTTAGGACAGTTGTGTGAGCAGTGCTATAACTAAACTCGAGGTACTAGTTAAGTTTCGAAAGTTGACTCTTAAAGTTGTGGGTCCTCAATGGCTAAGATGCACAGGACAGGTATTAAGAATCCAAATCCAACGCTTACCTCGATAGGTAATATTGTCTGGTTTAGTGGTTGGTGTGAAGAAATCTGAAGGAAATAGGTCTAATCCATGAAGGCAGTGACTTTTGGAATGATCCATATAGGTAAGAGGAGAACACTTGGATGGGGCACATGTGGTTGCCGGTACCAATAATTTTAGACGTTTAATAACATAATCCACAACAAATTAGGTACATTTACTCATTGTCTTTTCCTAATGCTGATTTTTGGAACTATATACATTGATCCCATGAACTTCTTTCACCCAGAATCATATGGTCTATATCGAATATTTTCTTCCTCCTGTTAACACTCTTACTGACTCTACTACTATAAAATTCATTATGGTGATTTCATTGAGATGTAGATTTTGTGTAGCCAATTGAATATATACACATGCGTAACGTGTTTTACGCTGAGTAGAACTGAAAGACTGTATTCTTATGAGAGTGTTTCAACGTCTTAAACTTCATGATTAACCGTTAGATTCAATACTAGAAAATAATTCTGATAATCTATTAAAACAATAGAATCTGCAATATGAAATGACATAATTCGATACATGTGTACGTTCAAACCGTAACGTCTTCAAGGATACAAAATGTCTACTGGATTCTTCTTTCATTTATTCAGCCAAACTAGGGAAGTTGTTTTAATTACAAATTCATTTAAGATAAACAACTATGGAAAGCCTGGAAATACCAAACAACTGTTTTGCAAAAGCCAAGTGATAACGTATTCGGATTTCACCCTGGGTAACAAGACTTCATGCCTCATGAGTAGCAACAGTTTGCTCATGATTAAAGATACGTTTTCCTTACTAGTGAAGTTTGCGTTGTGAAGGAACCCTAGGTCTAGAACCTCATACTGATTGTTTCCCACTATATTAAAGTCGTATGTGAAATAAATTCTTGAAAACTTATACACATGAAGAATCAACTTTAGAATTAAATTCAACCGAAAAAACATATTATGTCCCTCGCTAAAGGTACCAATATTTGTAAAGAAATTTTAAGTGTAATTCATCGAAATATTTGTTGCTGTTAATATGCATTTCATGGAAGCAGGATAACTTCGTTCCAGCTGATTCTTATTGACTCATATAAAATTACTAAGTAATAAATTTCATATAAATACATTTTTACTATAAATTAGATGGATTGAGATAACCTCCAAATTTACTTTGAAGTACTACATAAATGATTTATTACATATCCGTATTTATAAACACGTGAAGAACTTTATTAAACACTTTATTCTAATTGATTAATATCAGCATGAGTAAATATTCTTACGGCTAGAATGGTTTTAGGTCACAAATAGGTTAACCTTAACTAAAATTAGTTATATTTACAGGGTTATCTAGTTTCAAATGACTATAATTACAGCGTTGTCTTTACAATTAACTATCTTAAGGTAGGCAGAAAATTCAAGGTAATAGATTTTGAGTAGATTATGCAAAACAAGAGTGCAGGTAAAATAGATATTGATTTTAAAATGATTTGTTTATTTATATTTGTGGCTAGACAAATACACAGTCTGTTAACTATGATACTCAATAGTGATACCAAATTCAATATGATCGGCATGGTATAGTTTGATTAAATTAGTGGAACACAGATATTATGTATTAAAATATTACATCGTTGCTTAAAATACGGAGTGAGAGATTTCGGTAGTTTTATTGCTTTTCAATGTTTGACTCTTCAGTCCAGTTGTGTTTTGGCCATAAATGTATACCTTAAGTTCGATTCTAGTTAACAGCAATTGTCGATAGTTTGTCATTGTCACAAATATTATTGACGGAGGTCCTTATTGGCATTTATAGAATACAATACATTGATGCTTCAGGTTTTTATGAGCTTCATCAGATGGAGTAGCTATTCGGAAATGAAATTTCCGATAAAACGGAAGCAAAGAACTAGGCCATGACATACCATCATTCTTTTGAACTGGTCGATCTTTTAGGTGACATTAATATCAAAAGAAAAACTATGTACTCATTTGACGTGAATTCCTTATTCACAAATGTACCTTTAAAAAAGACTAATGACATTTTATGTGACTATATATTTTCAAACAACCTTAATTTACCTATTCCCTTAAAAATTCTTAAAGAGTTATTACTTTTATGTACTGATAAAGTTCAGTTCAATTTTGAAGGTGAATACTTTCGCCAGATTGATGGGGTCGCTATGGGTAGTCCGTTAGGGCCATTACTAGCAGATGTGTTTATGGCACATGTGGAAAATTTATCTGAAGACTTAATCGAAAACATGTCACTTTATAAGAGATATGTGGACGATATCTTAGTAATTGGTGAAAGAATGGAAGACATAAACTGCCTATTGAATAAATTTAACACTATCCAAAACCATATCAGTCTTTCATGCGAAGAGGAGAAGAACGACCAACTCCCCTTCCTAGATGTACTTCTAAGCAGACGAGAAGGTGGCTCAATAAAACGATCCATTTTTCGAAAACCGACGTGGACGGGTCAATATCTTAGTTACTATAGTTATTGCCCTGTGCAATACAAACGTGGTTTGGTAAAGTGCCTTTTTAACAGGCTTCGTCGTATTTGTACAAACGACGCTATTGATGACGATGTTAAGTTGTTAACCATGACATTAATCGGGAATGGTTATCCACCTAAATTTATCAATAGATGGAAAGTTATGGGCACAGCGAGACCTACTGTAGCCTTGGTAGAGAAAAAGCCTGTTTACATCACCTTACCATTTAGAGGTGATTCAAATAGCCTTTTACTGAAACAAAGGCTTAAATCAGTCATCAACAAAACATATTGTGCAGCAAAGGTCATGATCAAAGAAAGAACAAGGTCCATGCTTCATTCAAAGCCTAGACGACATGAAAACGATTGTGTCACATCCCACTGCGTTTACCAATTTAAATGTGTGTGTGGTCACACATACATAGGGAGGAGCAATCGTGATCTGAAAATTAGGGTGGGTGAACATGTACCAAAATGGTTGCAAAAACAAATACAGTCGAATGACCCAATAAGAGTAGAGGATAAACATCCATCATCCTCTGTTGCTAAACGTATAATCGAAACAGGTCGTAAGATTGATCTTAACTCAGCTTTTGTTGTGTTGTTTAAAAGTGTAAAGGGCGTATACTGAGTTTTATTGAAGCCTTAGCCATACGAAAATTCAAACCCCCTTTGTGTATTCAAAAACAGTTTGTTCTCTCCTTAAACCTACCCTGGTAATAAATGCTTATTATCCAGAGTGATTAGGTGTCAAGTTGTTTTCACATTATTTTATCATTATTATCCTTGTCTATTTCTTAACCTTATTACCAGTCTAGTTGGCCTTTTATTTTTATATATAAATGTTCTTAACAAGTATATGTGTGATCAGATTGTTCGAAATGTATTGCGCTAATATATCACGTAGTTCTGATAATCTTCGTCTTCTTATTACATTATCGAAATTTATCAAAGGGACTAATTGGTTTAACATAAATTACAAAGTAATTTTCTTTAACATCCTGAAATGACATCGGTTCATTTTCATAATTTTTATAATTTCAAAATTTGCAAAAGCACTATCGAACAGCTCGACGGATCAGTCTTACACTTATGTTGTTTTATCACAGATTTGAGCTAAAATTTGTATTGGTAATGATGAATGCATTGTGTTATATGAACCCGAATCGACGGTAGTAATTCCTCTTTGGTTCATACTACATTAATGAACATAGAAAACAGAAATCTAATCTGTAGTTTAGCTTTCCAATTATTATGTCCCAGTCTGTTTAAGTGATAGTCACAATTGGAGTGTTCTTAAGAAATTTTTAAAAAAATGCATTCATACATAGTTTAGAGGGAAATTATTCTGAGTCTCTATTACAATAAATTTAAAACAGGTCTCTCATGAATATTTATATTATTTTACCCTCTTAAACTTGTAACTAAGCTCTGATCTCATTTGGCCTGTTCCACTTTCGTTATTTCAAGTGGAGAATGATAATTATTAGGTTTGTTCAGCTTTTTTAGAAAAAGCATTGTGAAATACATAATTAATGTTCTAGAAATACTCAGCTCATAGTTTCAGTAGTAATGACATTTTCTTATACATTCTAGACATTGATACTACAGGGCTCTGATCTTACTGCTCGTGATGAATATGGTTTAACACCAATTATATGGGCTTGTCGGTCGGACCGATTAGGAAACCTAGTAATCTTGTTGAAGGTAGGTTCGTCTTCCGTTTATTTAAAAGTATGATAATTTGTCCTACTCTTAGTTTGCTCTTCTCAATTACCAGTAGTTTTTAGATGCATATCATTTTGTTATTTGAACAATTACCTAGTGAATCAAATCAGATTACACTAGAATGTATTCAAACTTTGATTATTACTTTAATTGAATTATAGGCAGCTAAAATCCGAAGTATTCCAGAAAAACAATGGATGTATGATAGTAGCGGTTATCATTTGATACACCATACTTTATTGAAAGATGATCGTTTAAAATGTTTAGAAGTGAGTTATCTTCTTTCGCTGAAAATAACTTTTAATTGTTTCTAAAAAATTTTTTATTTATTTCACTAGGGATTCAAATACTAAACAGAATTTCTAAACTATTTCAAAGTCTCATGAAACTCTTGATTATCACCAATGAGTTGCTTTATGCTAATTAAATAAGATTATTTAATAAAGGCAACTTTGAAATAGAACTTTATAGTTTCTAGATTGATAAACATATCAGTGAAATTAGTCATCTGTTCGACTTGTTGAATTTTCGTTTTCTTTTAAGGAAGGTAAAATTACAGACTGTCGGATTTTGAGAGACGATACATCTGGTGAGCTAAATGCCTATTTACACCCCGACAAAATTCTGAGTTGATTAAAAAAAATTATAGTTTGCTAGATTAAGAGTACTTCATTCACATGTTATTCCTTTGGAAATATATGTACTTTTAAATAAAATAGTGTATCTAAAAACTGTTACATAAATCTGAATGACTAATTTTTCTTAGTTTTATCGCTTGTTTGACTGAACTCTTGTTTTTATTCATGGATCATATGTTCATTCTACATCTTAACATCAAACACGACACCAATATTGTTAATCGAAGTTCAGTGAGATGTATCTGATCTTTAATCGGTACTTGATGGTTCTAAGAATTTGAACGTTCATTCAACAAGGTTTGCCATCTTATTCATGGTGGGTTATAAATTATCATTATCGAATACAATGTATTTTTCTCACAGATGAAAGTTTTCTCAATGTATTTTATATTAGTGTAGAGAACGCAATCATCATCATGCAGTTAAACCGACTGTTAATTATCACTAGTTATTCTGAAGATTTAATATCTTCTAATTGACCACTGGTATATAAAATATTTTCACTTTACTTATTAAATCCATTAAGAAACTGAAATTTTTGAACTTTTTCATGAGTTTAGTTCCCATAATGTCACATAACACACTTCATCTGAGAATCGTTAATTTAAAAGTTGGGAGAATGCCATGAATGTTCATAAAAAATTGTTGTTTCTGATCAATAGTTAATAGATCACTGTTCACTCTGAACCGGTTATTATCATTATTCATTATGATCTGGGACTTCCGGAAGTTTACAGAATCAAAACTCAGCTGCTTCAAATAAGATTTCAAAATGTTTCTATAGAAATTCAAGGGAATAGATGTAGTCTCTGTACTTGTATTTCGGCTTAAGACATCAAAATATGATGTGTGTTGTGAAATGAAATACTTGAACAGTGATTTCTAGCAACAAAATTAGGAACTGTATCTATGGTTTTCAAGTATTTAACGCCTGTCTTAAATACAGATCAGACAGGAAGGTTCGGTTTTAGCGACATATTTAAACTAGTTGGACTAAATGCTGATCTAAACCCAGTAAGCTACTATTGGAAACGCTTGATACATTGTTTAGATTTTCTATTCTATGGGCATAATAATAATCTGTCTTCTTTGTACAATAGCTATTAAACATAACATTTTTGAAGTTATTACAATCATGAAGTTAAAATAGCCATCTGCTGTTGCTTGAGTAATTTGTGAATAACTTTATCGAGGGAATTTTATCTTCAGAACAGTAAACAAAAACAATTTATTGATTATTATTATTATTTTAATAGTCGTTTAAACAATTAAAATTAATTTCTATAAACTATTCATTTTAGTATTTATCAAACAGCGAGTATGGATTAAATGTAGATTCAGAAGGTCAAAATGCACTTCATCATGCTGCAATGAAAGGCAAGTTATCTAAACAAAAAATCTCTTGCAAAATATGTTACTTTGAGGAGAAAGTGAACGTCATAGTACTGACATATTTGTCTAAAGAGAGAGGATCGTAAATTATGTTGAACAAGTGCAAAAGCATGATATACTCTATAAGATCTTTTCCAAAATAATACAAAGTGATGTTCTGTTTGATTTTATAAGACTGATGAATAAATGTTACATACCTCTCTTTTTTGCATTACATGACATACTGGTCAGCAATGACTGATACCTTTGTGAGCAGATAACGATAATTACGTTACTTCCAGAGTTGTGACTTTATTAATTCTATTTACATTCAAACAGATACGTGGAATTAAGACAATGGGAATCTATTAAAATAAAATGTAATTGTAGCAGAAAAACACTTCAAATGACCAAATACAAAATCATAATCAATTGGACTGAAGTAATTATTAAATCGACAAAACTGCTTACCAGACATATGTATTATTCTCATTATTGATTAAAGGCATGTGTTTGAAAATATCTAGAAGGAAAAGCTGAACGTAAATCTTTTCCAAAATTTGTTTTCGATTTCGAGAAAACTGATGCCCCTCTCAGAGATTCGAAATCATTTTGTATCATCACTACATTCTCACACACCGACGAACTACTTCAGTACCGTTATTCCCTCCATCTCTAATCAGTTATTGATAAATCTGACTGATATTGAAAAGTTGCGATAAAAAAATTTTAAAATGAAGCAATATCAAATCCTAATTGAAAATGTAACTTGAATAAGCTTTTATTGACAAATAATCGTTTTTGATTAAACATAGTTATTCTATGTAAGCATTAATAACAAAATAACCTATGTGTCTGTAATGAAGTTATAAGAGTGTTAGTCAGCCAGCAGTCTAACTCGGCTATAAATAACTATTTCTTCTCCTATCATATAAACTTCAAACTGGGCATCTGATTAGTTTCATGGTTCTAGAAATGTGTGAAAATTACATTTCAGCAGTTAACTTATGAACTTAACATGTGCATTCCACAATTTCAGATATAGTTATACTAATATATGACATTAGAAGAAATGACTCGACTTCCCACTACCCGATTTGGTTTTATAAATACTCATAATATTTGAATCATTTTTGTATTGCTTGGTTGAATCTTCCAATTGATGTTTGGGATTGCAATTGATCAGTCTCTTATAGACATATGTGTATCCTGAGAGGATCGACTCGACATCGCCTTAAATCACAAGCTTTATGAGCAAAGATGGATGGTGGCTAGAATCGGAATCCAAAACGTGCATTTTTTCCTATTTATAACTCATCAGTTGGATGCGCCAGCATCCCAGAGTTGACATTCACTCTTGGACTCAAACCCACTACCATTTGCTCCAAACGTCATCGCGTTATAAAATTGCCTATTAAGTCAAACGGGCGCATCCAACTTTCAATGTGATGGAAATTTTTAAATAATTGGTGAAGATTGTTTGATTTTAAAAACAGGTTGTATTTGTGAAAATTATATTTGGAATAATCTCAGATTGAAATTCAATTAATTTCAACGTTCCGTCCAGCAAACGTGTCTGGACTTCTTCGGGATTGCAATCAAAATCAAAATTATCAGAGAACATATAATATTTAAAAATCGAATCTTTACTGTGCTTAACTGGTGCCGAGTTCAGGGTAATTAGGAATGCTCTGATCCTGGGTGGAGGCTCACCATTGCACCTGTGTGAGTTGAAACGCTCACCGAAGCCTAATCTGGTGAGCTCGGGTGAATAGTTTTTGTCAAATAGAAATCTAATTACCTACAAAGTACCTGTGCTTAAAAATGGTCTTAATTTCAATATAAATAGACAAGGATTATCACCGTTCAATATTGTACCTGCAATAAACCAGCTTTGGATTTCCTTTCTAATGAAACAATAAATGTGGGCAATAAAATAGTGGCCACTTTATTACATCAAAAACCGTACAGTTGAATCTAACTAAAAAAGAATTATATGCATTGAAACATCTGTGAAACGACAAGACAATTATCTTGACGAGAGCAGATAAAGGGAACACGACTGTCATCATGAGCAACTCAGATTACAAGAAAAAAGTCAGTAACATCTTCAAGATGGTCTATATAAATTAATTAAAGCCACAAAACGTCGGATTACACTAAATAAACTTAAGGCTGAAACTAGCGAATTCTTACAGTCGATTAAAACGAAACTGGGACTGTCATTGCGGTTCATATTATATCCAAAAAGCTGTAACCATTGAACATTCTATGGACTACCAAAGATTCAAAAGAATAATACTCCACTAAGACCAGTGCTTGATTTACAAATTCACCTACATACAACCTAGCGAAATACTTAGCCAAGATACTCACACCATATGAAAAATTGACTAATCATGAGTTTAAATACTCTACTGAATTCAAGAGCAATATCGGTACCATCCTTATAGAAGAGGGCGAAATGATGGCAAATCTTCATGTTTCTTCCTCATTTACTAATGTACCTGTTGAAAGAGTATTGGGTATTATTTATAAATGTTTATAATCTGACTTAGATTTGAATTTACGATGCCTGTTAGATCCTTCTGAAGTGTTTGGAATTGTGTTTACTATGCACGTTATTATCATTCCGAGGAGACCTTTACAGACGGAAAGGTATAGCAGTGGGTTAACTGGTTTATCTGATTGTAGAGAATTTATCCACGCATTCCCTAAAACCAGTGCAATCACAAAATGTATAATTCCACCAAAAGTTTGGTTACGATATACATATGACATTTTTATCATCATTAAACGAAGTGGTTCAGGAGAAGTGTCTAAAAGTTTTAACAGCATTTTGAAGGGCATCAAGCTAACCAAGGAAATTGAGTTCAGTGACCACAAACTAGCGTTTTTTTATTGTTTGTCTGAAAGAAGACGTAATAATAAATTGAATATATATGTATTCAAAAAATTAATACATTCTGAGAGCTACTTAGATTACGGTCAGTCTCATGCGTATTGTACGAAAATTAAATAACAGTAGTATGGATCTCATTATGAAGATGGAAGACTAACAGGTTGAACTGAATGGAATTTTGTCTACACTTAGGACTAACAATCACCTCGGAGAGTTTTTAAATTAGATTACTAAAAATGAAAGAAAGATTAATTAAGGTGTGTACCGAAAGACTGGAAGTCCACCGTGATCATACAGTAGAGAAATAATGGGAGAAATTAAGATTTTAAACAAACGTAAGAATGTATTTTCGGGTTTATAAAACCATAAGATCAGCATTAGTGAATGTTAAGGATAGGTTTACAAAAAAAGAACAGCAGAATGTTGTCTATTAGATCAATTTTGATAAATGTAACTTCTAAATAATTGAATTTGGGGTTGAAGGAACATAAACAATGTTTGAAAAATGTTCCCAAATCCTTGGTCGATCTGAATGAACTTGAGAATAGGTCAGCAATAGCGTTACATGAGTTGGAAATAGGGGACAAGATCAATTTTGAAAGGAGCAAAATATTTCAGAAAGGTTTTAACATACATAAAGAATGACTGACAGCAGAAGCGCTGTATGTATGCGCGGACCAGAACAGTCTGAACAGAAAGGATGGAACTCAACTAGCAACTATTTGGCAAATATTCGTTAACAAGTAATTGGGCCCATTTTCTATATAACCTGTTCATTTCACATGCATCGTTATTCTGACTGAAATTAATGTGGGTTATTTTAGCAATACAATTATGTATTTAATGGTTTTCATATTACGCGAACATCGACTGTTCCAAAGCAATTCTAACCTTCAACTTGCATTTCTATTTATTTCATATAAAACAAATTAACATATAACATCAACTACTAATGACTCAAACTTACACTTACACACAGTCATTTATTCATTTATCTTTACATTGTGAACTTTTCACATGATTCGCATATAACTGACTGATATTATCCTACTTACTAAAGTTAAAATCTTATTATCATTGGATTAACAAAATAAAAATTTGATTTGATTGTTAAATATTATATATTCTTTGATAATTTTAATTTTGATTGCAACTCTGAAGAACTTTGGACAAGTTTTTGGGAGAAACGGAATTATTTAAATTTCAATCTCTGAGATTATTTCAAATATAAACTTCGCAAATAATATCTTTTCTATACTCGGCACACGATTTCTGTCAAACTATTAGTTCTAATATTGACGAATATTCGTATAAAAATCAATTTTTATTACGGTATAAGTTTAACTGATTCATGATTGAATGCAGTTGTGCAATGAATTGATATATCATCGTAGTTCGAGATCTCATGACTTCAATGCTTGCCCAAAACTCTAGAAACGATTGAATTGGTGACATGTAAATCTTTCATTGAGTACTGCACTGTCAAACCAACTAGTTGCCTAGACACGGTTTCGTTTTTCCAACTTCGTTCACTTCGATAAAATCAAGATGATTGCTTTTTAATTAGCTTACTACTTAGTACATTCGAACATAATCAACTATCTTTGATGTCTATTTTAATTATTACTAATATTTTGTGTTTTGATTTGTTTGCGGTTTTATTTATATGAGTCTTTTATTCTCCCTTTGTAACGAAGTGTTAGAAACTACGACCAGATTACAATTATATTTGTGAAATTTACGTTAATTCATTCCGCATTTTTTGATTGTCAGTTAACTGTATCTTCAAAAATCTTATATCATTGACTCAATGCTCATATTATCAAAAAATCTCCTTCTGCCTATTATTTGTAGGTTTTTCTAATGGATGCAAAATTATTCTTCAGTATAAACCGAATGCTATACTATTGAATCAGTTCAATAGTGAAAATCGTACTCCTTTGCATTTAGCTACAATAAATGGACATGGGAATATTGTTAACTTACTGTTAAGTCATAAAGGTTTGATTGTTATTATCTTGTGTAATAATTTTTTTGAAATAATCCCATAGATAACTTGTATAATTGAACCTTTGAATATATCTGTTTTTATATCACGCTTGCCAATACTTCTATTCACATCAGTATTCAAGGTCATTGGAGTACACTATTAACAATAGCCCTATGACCATATAAACTGACCAGATTATATATTGGATAGACTGAATGAAATTAAAACTAGTTATATTTCATTACCACATTCGATTGTCCCCACATATTTCATTACTTGAAAAGGATGATTTATTTTGAGTCATCAACATTTTACCCTTGTGCACATTGGTATTACATATTATTGATATTGATTATGCACACTTTTTACTAGATCATTTAACATAACTTGTTAATCCGTTCCTTTCACTCTCTCTTTTCGCTTAGGTTCGATCAAACACATATTTTTATGAGACTTAGTGAGTCTACATCATTTGTGAATAAAATTAACAATGATGACTAAATATACTAGAAATTCATCCTGAAATTCTAAAATGCGCTTCATTCATTACAATTGTCGAAAAATCATTTATTTACAATCATGATATTAAATATTTCGGACTGATTCGAGATATACCAGAATTTAGAACTATAGTTCTATAATAAATACACTATTTTGAAAGTGAACTATTCAGAAAGTCAAAACAATAAGTGAACAACTTCCAAATTTTACCCTATTTTTGATACTGATAATTTCAACAAAAGTACGAGTAAATGCAGGCAATCATCAAGAAAGAGAGAATGAAGTACACAAAAATGAAAATTTCTACACTAAAACAATTGTTAAACGAGTACATCAAAGTTGAAAACAACTGTTACAAATGCTAAAAAGACGCAATTAGAATAATAAATAGATTGAATGTTATCAGATTGTTTGAATACATAAAATATTACACTACAAATATAGACACAACATACTATGCTCTTGAAAGTTATTAGAATTGGACGTTATTACTGATCATTAGTAAGCAGTATAATATAACGCACGAAATGAATTAGGAAAAGAAAGGAATGCAGATGGAAAAAGTGCATAAATCTAATATTGTTAATCCATTCAGTGTTACGGTCGTCATTATATAACTTCTGAATCCTAATAACTTCATTCTGATCTAGAAAAAAGTGTTTTAATAATCAGTTAGTCAATAATCCCTTTAATTTCAACTACTGGTCATGTTTTCGACTACTAGTTCTTAATTAATTTCTCAATCTAATAATATCATAGATTCCATACGAAAACATCTGTCTACTTATTCGATTATTTAAAACTGACCGACATTAATCTCAGAGAGATAGTTCTTTAACAGAAGTAAATAATATATGTGTAAATAATATGCAAAGCAATTAATGTCTTTTATAAATTTCGATGGATTAACTCCATCTTCTCATTGCTCTATCTCAATAATGTCACCAATTTATCGCTTGTTTTTCGCATTTCACTTACCCTTTCTTTTATTTTCTCTGTATATTTCTACATTTAATTTTATAAAGCAAATCCATATTTACATGACAAGAATAACTGTTCAGCATATCAATATGCAAATATGAAACGTCTATATTTTTGTCTATTAATTTATGAACGTTATAATGTTGGTAAAGAAAAACAACAAGATGAAAAACATTCATTGAATGAAAATTTAATAAATGAATTAACTAGTTTTCGTCCTGTTAATCCACAATTTTCTCATTATCAGGTAGGAAAAGTAGAAAAGTTGATTAATCTGATTTGCATAAACTTTGAAAATAATATTTTTTTAAAGTTAGTATGATTGACCTAGTTATTAAATGAAATGATTTTCTCTCTCGATTAACTCCATTTGGTTGACAACATTGATAATGATGATGATTTATTCATTCCTCAATTAATTTCTAGTATACTTAAACTAACTCCAGTTTTCAGGAGTGATAACAAGAGCTAAAAACAAAGTATACCAGAAGGATAAATTTCAGCCATTCGTTTATATGGATAGCTGTCTAGAGATGTAGAACAGAGAGGCATTTCTCAGCCCAGTCGCAATATTTAAGTTGGAATCATGTTGCAAAATGAAAATACACTACACATAAAATACAGGTAAATAACGAGACACAATTTATAAGTAAGCTCATAGATTCGCACACAAGTCAAGACCACATATGAACTATAGGTCTAAATATGATAATCATAAGGAAATATGTGTGTACACATGGTCACAAAATACTTGGCCAGATTAGAATTACATTAAGTAGTGAAACAAAAGTAGGTTACGTGGGGGGGTGATATTATCTATCACTGATTATTTGATGAGTAGTTCATGCAAAAGACAAAAGTATAACGACGATCACTATCTGATACGTGTCTAACACACAAAATTTAATTTTAAATTAATTGTTTCCGTCCATTCGAAAAGATTTATAACTGTTGAACTAAGCAAAACTAAATTCAGCTTATGGCTACCCCTTCTTCTTAGGTGTATACGTAAAAAGATATGAAAATTTCTCCAGTTTGACTTTGACTAGTGAGTAAGGATTTTGTTCAGTATGTTACCAACAATAATGAATTTTAAATATTTTTTCATAAAACCTTAATCTGTTTGTATTAAAACGTAAAATCATCTCAGCGAAATGATTTGAAAACATAATATTACTTTAGATTGATCATGATTTTGAATATTGGATGATGAATAACAATTGGATTTAGTGTACGTAGGTAATCTTCTTTAGAACTTGAAAGACAGTTGTATTTTCATAGTTGAAATCATGAGTCGATTGAAGCTAGACCACCATCGAAAACCTGGAAGCACTGGACAGTCGTTTCGTCCTATTATGGGACAATTCAGCAGTGCGCATCCACGATCGCGCCTCGCGAGATTCGAACCCAGGACCTACCAGTCTCGCACTTTCGATATTTCACTGAGAGTTCATTTCCAACCACCACGTGGGTTATAAATAACGTATTAACATGAACAATACAAAGACATATTTTTAAGTAGCTTATATCACAATAGTGAATGATTAAAATAAGTCATGAACAACAGAAATGAAAGATTTATACTATTACAACGGTTAATATTTATCACGATTAATTGTTGGCTCTTTTTTAAATTTCGCTAAAGGATTTTTATTTAAATGCACATCAACATAGTGACAGTCAAACAAAAAGTCCATCTTCATCAATACCCGATACTCGACCAGTAGCACTAGTGAATGATAAACAGATTAATCAAAGTACAAAACAAGCGCACGACTCCTCTTCACCGTTAAACGATTCTCTTAGGAAAAAATTAACAAACAATTTATTAGTTGAAAGTAACAATGATAATAACATTGTCAATAAAAATATCTATTCGACACAAAACCATGTTTCTCCAAGAATAACTCCCAAAGTAAGTTTTTTGTAAATAATTATCTTAGTTAATAAACAAGTGACATAGGAAATGGTTATGGAGAACTCTGTTATTACAATTATTAAATTATTATAATCTGCATAACTTTTATTCAAATAAGTGTCACCGGAAGGATTTCCAGTTTCATTTACTGTCTGTTCTATATTCTGAATAATCTGAAAATTCTACTTTGAAAAAGACTCACAAACTTTAAAGTTTATTTCAATTCATCTTCAAAGTAAATTTGGCATATTTTTATTGAATGTTGAATGAAACGATTCTTGATGAACTAGATTTGAATGGATGATAATTATACAGTACTAAATGTATATTCCTTTCTTATTCTTCATTAATTTCCTTACTAAATCATAAATAAATTAAATAGGATGCTACAAATAATTAAATTCAACATGACTAGCACTTTGTATATGCATTATTCAAGCGTTTTCATTTTTCAGTTATTAATAAAAACCATACAGAGGAATTTGATTATTTAGTTTCCATGTTGCATTGAATAATTTGTACTGAAAGTTTTAGAGTAATTGATCACTTATGGGCATCAGAATATAATTAAATTGATAAAATTTATAGTCAACACTTGATTAATAAGTCAATTATAGTTTAAAGTAATTTAACACATCCTAATTGAAATTTCCATAAAATTGTAAGATCTCATCATTATTGTGTTTTTCATAGTTGTATAGGCTATAATGAATTGATAAAAAAATAGCATTTTAGTGATATGTTACATTTCGAAAAAACCTTATTACCTCTATTTTCTTTAAATTTTTAGGGTCAGCTTACTGAAATTAAATCTATGATAAGTAGTAGAGATATACAAAATAACAAAGTGAAAAACAATTTTAAAATTAAACGCGAATTACTACCAACAGATAAAAGAGTACATCGGAACGGCAACTCAACAGTACCATCAAAAAGAATAAGTCAACAGATTGATAAACTTCAAAATCCAACTCTGAAGATAAGAAACTCTATACAATCATCATCATCTGATCACTCAGACGTAGACAGTAAAAGAAACGATGAACATAATGAAGCTTTAAAATCTCGACCATATAACAACCATGGTGTTAGTAATAATAGTAACGTTATGAATGCAACTTACAATAAAGGCAAAATTAATTCTAAAGGTATATTGATTTTTAAATATAAGTGTGTAACCCACATATTGTACATATAAATATGTAAACAATTATTGTAATAGTTGGCATAAAATATAATATTAATACTCAGAATTACCTGGGCTAAAAGCCATCTTCAAATTAATTGTTAGTTTTCGCTCATCTCATCTCTCTATCAAAATATAGATTTTATATAATTTATCCGTGAGATGTCAAGAAATATCACAGTGTATGCAAACAATAAGTTGGGGTAAGAAATAAACTGACCATTGGATTAGCTTGACGATATGATAGTTCACAGTTTGTGTTATATTGATTATCAGTGTTGTTATTCATAGAAGTAGTTGATACTAGAATCTCATAATAAATGTTTTGTATTTAATTCTGTAAAAATAAATAATGATTTAAAATAAATGAGTAGAGAAACTCTCAACAGCATATAAGGAGAAAAAATACTTTTTTATAAAATCTCAGCGATTAAACTCCAAGTAAATGTAGCTTTCTTTTACCACTAGTTCATCAAAATGTAGTAGATTTTCCTACTCGTTTGAATGCTCATTTTAACTTCGTTTTCATTAACGATACGGGTACATATGTGACTCGTAAACTTGATCCATTGTCTAGATCGGATCACTGTATAATTCGTGTTCTATATAAAGTATATGGAAAACATGGAAAGAGCACACCTTTACACCAGATCAAAAAAGTCATATATAGGAATTACTCAGAAGAAAACATACAAAATCTGAAAAACATGTTTCGTACGAATAACTGGAAATTATTGACAGATGACTCACTGGAAAACACCACTGATGTTATCATTTATTATCTTAAATTCTATTTTCATATTTGTTGTCCTACTTAAACTGCTTTTCTACGTTTTGACCGACTTACGTCTCCACAACTAAAACGACCACGGCGGGTAAAAGAAAGAGTGTACATAAAGAAGAACTTTGTTGAAGTTATTAGGCTAAATGGTCTAGTAAACCTAGAGATAAGACTTCCCAACTCTATGTTTTTTTCAGAAAATCTTATCTTAAAAAAACTCTCCATGTATGTGGAAACCCGTTAAAGAACTTACAGGTCACAAGAAGATTAGAAGCTATAACCAGATGTATTTTTGTGACCTAAATAAGTCTTTTGTACTTCAGTCATTCGATGTCACGCACCCTATATACACAGGTTTGAAAAATAGTTTTGTCCCTAGTTTTACTAAAAATGATGTCCGAAAATGTCGTAGATATGATAGAAACAAACGGTTCGTTAAAGAACTGGGTAAGTCTGCAGCACGACCTCCAATAGTCCTTGACAAAACTACCGCCTTAGTTTTAGGGTATTGTTTCTTTCACAAAGTGTCGATATCTTTTAAAAACGGTTGGTCTCGTCCTCTACGGTAACATATATAGGCCTCCTCTCTAAAATTCAAAATGATGTTGACTTTATGTTTTCCGGAGAAACTGTATTTAACGCATGTATACCCTTCCGGTATTTTTTCTTTCTCTCTTGATTCTAATAATCTTGTTTTCAATCGCTTCAATCGTTTTTTGGGGGGAGAACTTTTGAATTGAATACTGGTTGACCCGGTGCTAATAGTGGCCTAAAACTATTTGTATCCAAGTCAATATATGCAATGCCACCATTAGATGGTAAACGGAAAACATCAAACAATCTTGAGTCCATTCCAATTAAATATGGTGAAGGTGATTGAACCACATGAATACAGCCCATATATATGTATGGAATATATACAACAGTCCATTTCAATGGGAATATCATGTATATCAAAGCTTCACCAATATCACTCAATACTGAATGTCATACAGATAACATAAGAATTTTTTGTTCAGTAAGTAGTTGAACAAATAACCGAACAATTAAATCCACGCTTAAATTATCCAAAGGACGACAGAATGATTCGCAACTTGAAGAAGATGCATTAGTGTCATCTGGACGTTGAATTAGAATAGGAGCGTTAGTCTTTTTTCTTAATTATTCTGTTTGAAATTCCACGGGATAATTATTCATCATCAAAGTGGAGATAGCTGAATTCATTTCAGTTTCTTTGTCATTCGATTCAGTGACGACATTTTGAACTCCGTTTATTAAATTTGTGGCCACTATATTCAAAGCATCCTAATTGCATGATTTAAAACAAATAATTAAATCTTCAGTCGGTTTGTGGACCACCATTACATCATCGCAAGTCGCCTGTCAGACAATCCGTTGACTGCTCCTTGAAACTATAGAGTTGTCGTTGATACTGTTGTCGACATCGTTTGTCAATGGCGAATAGACAATCAGTCATATATGAGTAAATATTCAATAGTTTATTATGGGTTACTTTGATAAGCTCTAAGATACTTGATAGAGTTAGAACACTCATGCCATTACCAATATGTCTAGTATTTAGTGAATTTATGATCTATTTATCTCATAAATTCTTCACAACTAAAAACCTAGCTATGCATCATTCTACCAATAGCATTGGACAAGATTTTGTTTACCATACTGATAGGCTAGGCCATATTAATTTAAATTCAAATCACAAGTCATTCTTATGCATGCGAGCTGTTAATTAAGATTTGAAATAGTTTTATGAGGGAAGAGATATAAAATATTGGTTGAAAATCTGGCCTAATTTTCTGTGGAGCATAGTTTTTTTGTAGTTTTTTTCACTCAAGTAGCTGGTTGTGCAAAAATGTAGGAAGTGTACATACCAGTATAAGACTCGGACGACCACTCAAAATAGGATTTACATATTCATGAAATGGACTTTTTAGATTACAAATAAAAGTACTGGTCGTTTTAAATTAATAATATGTACTTCATATAAACTGAGCTTCTGTAAAACTGCAGTCTAGAATTCGCCTAATTACAACTTTTTTAAATCACAATTAACCTACAGATGTTGATAAGTTAAAAAATGCTGATAGTTCATCGGTTTCTGACATAAATTCAATCCCTGATACCGAGAGAAATCCGATGCCTACTCCACGTAAAACACCATATACAAGTGAAATTAATCAAAGCAGTTGGAAGTCTGTATTATACCATTCTAGGCTTCTTAAACGAGATCAAGTTAATAATATGCCACAACAAAATTCTATGTAAGTTAATCCATTTTTACGAACATTTTACCGCATTTTTCAGTAATTGCGTTATCTTAAACAATAAGATTGACTGTTTCCTGAATAATATCATCATAAATCGAGTCGTCTTTTAATTATTAACTAATTATTTAACGACTCTGTTTATAATCAAATAGGTATAAAGTAAATATGTATGTAAATTTTTAGAAATCATATATGAGAACGTTTATGAATTATTAAGATTATTATGTCTTTCGGCTTAATTCATTTACTTGTACATATCTTTAAAAGTCGGACAAAATCTTGAGGCTAAATTGTCCTAAATATAAACAATTTATTGGTGATAACTGAATATAATTTTTTACCTTAACAATTTTGTGATGTAATACAACTTGTCCGTCTATTGAAAAGTAATTCGTACAACTATATAAATATTTGTTTCTTAACAGAAATTTTAACCATTTCCAAAAATTACCTGCCTCTAATTAGCTTTGATTGTTCTGAGCCAACTGTTTCATGAAAGTCAAATAACAAAAATATTCTGAACCGCGTAGCTTATTTATTTCAGATAGTTCACTATTTAGTACTCAATTCTGATCTTTTTCAATCATCTTCTAAAAGGCCTCTAATTACTTATTTAGTTAAAACTGATCTTAAAAGCCAAACTATTTGGTAGGTGAGCAAAATGATGAATATTTTCGAGTACTGACGTAGATATAATCGCGAAATCAAACATTACTGATTTGGGTAATATTTCAGCCATAAATAAAGATATGTATCAATCATATTCGTTTATTATTATTAATATTCATTACACTGTCAGTAAAGGTATTTCATGACAATCAATTTATCTGAGTATGCAATAATATTTTGAGTATATAAAACTACATAGTTTTTTTCTAACAATAATGCACTTTAACAAGAAAAATGAAGTGGAAGTTGTTTTTTATTTTAAACAATTTCAAGTAAATAACAGACAAGCGGACCCTTCTTTTTATTCATCTAATTGACCTGAAACAAAATTAGTTTCTATCATCTTTGTACTGGTAGTCTCATCTCAACCAAAAAAAGACTGATCTACTATTATATTGTTTAATTGTTAAATAAACTATAAAATAATTTTAATTAATCAATAAGAATTAATTAAATTATTTCCTCTTTTTTTTCTTTTTTTTTAATTTTATTAATAAGGAATAATAATCATAAAATTTCTATGAATAAATCTAATTCAATTCATCTAGAATATGAAGATGAAATTATACCATTAAATATGAAATTATTTACTAAATCAACTGTAAATTCATCTTATTTAAATAAAACATTATTATGTAATAATAATAATAATAATAATTTATTATCACCATCATTAAATTCTGTTCATCGTAAAATCATTAATGTGAATAAAAAATAATTAATTAATCCTTATTGTATAATAAAATAATTTACTATTTTATTTAAAACAATTATTATTTTACACAAAAAAAAGATCTTTATATCGTCCATATTAAAATTATTAATTGAACATTGAAATTGATCAGCTGTTCAATGAATAAATTTATTTAAACAAAAAATTTTAAAAAAAAACTAATTACATCATATTTATTCTTGTATTCATCTCAAAATAAGAGGTAACATATTTATCTTATAAATAAGAATAATATAATTGTAATATCCTAATGAGTAGAAAAATTAGATTTTCTGACGTTTGATGACTCAATGTAAAAAAACTTCTTAAGAGAATAAATAACCAAGTCAAAATTAATCCAAGTCTAAATAGTACAACGAAACAACACGAATATTAGGTGCGATCAATAAAAAAAAACAAGTCCGAAGAAGTGGCTTACACTGAGTCACGAAACGTCAGATAATCTAATTTTTCTACTCATTAGGATACTAAAAATATATTATTCTTATTTATAACAATCTACTCAATGGTCAATTTATTCAAAATTATCAAAACCAAAACTTGGTAATGATTCCTATAAACTCATTAATATTTATCTTAGTTTTAAATTAAGTATAATTGGATAATTTGAGAATGATTGAAAATTAAAATAATCTTGTAAATATTGTTTCTTTTAAAAACAGAAGGTATAAAAAATGTCTAATTGATACTTAAAATAATTCAGAATGTTTTAGATTGATGAAGATTCTCTATAAGAATAATCAATTGAGAAATTCATAAATCTTTGGGTTTTTTTTAACAATCTATCATTAAAGAAATTCATAAATTACTTATTTTGTTTTTTTTTGTTTTGGTAAATTACATAATTGATAAATATGAAAAATTATCTTTTAAATGCTTCATAATATTTATGTAAAATAATAAAAGAAAAACAAAAAACACTAACCATGCTTGAAAGCTAAATCGATTCCGCGGTAACGAACGAAAGCCAGTGACATAATGACACGATAAGCTATTCTAATCTGTTGTCCCAGGCCCCGCTAACTAGATGAAGAAGTCCAAGGCAAGTAGGGGAATATATATGTATTCCGTAAGCAGCCGAGTACAAGCAATCGAATAAGGGAAAAAGTCAAGTGCATTTATACAGCAACAATTTGTTTTTGAGCATCATTAGTAAATAGCACACACAAAGAAACAATGGACCAATAGCGTCAAAGATAGTTTACAAGTGGGAAATATGACGTGAAGGTAAAAAGGGCGCGTTTGACGCGAAAACAGCTAAATTCAAATTTTCAAAATAAAATTACAAAACTAAGCCATTTACCAAGTAAGTTCTGGGGATTTGACATCCCCAACACATGGGTGGATCATTTTGGTTTAATAGATAAGAAACATTTTTTTAATTAAATTTTTTTATTTTCAAAAGTTAACTACATTTTATATTAATCATAAGATAAAATTAATATACGGAATGGTAAAAAAGAAAAAAAATATTTATCATAGTTTGATTATAATGCAGAATTTATATTTATTTTCTATATATATGTCACAATGTTGAACTTGAATGAAGACAGTTATTTTAGTCTAAATATATCATGATATATTTAATAGAAAACTGAAAATATAAATAATATAATATTGAATTAGAATTTTGTTTTCTATTGATAAATAATCAGTACCTAATACAATATTGTAGTAATGTAGTACATGTTTGTAAAGAACATAGATCCAACTAACTATGACTGTTGTTATCAGCTGTGATATCTGTTATTTTTATGGCTATTGGAAACCTTGTGTACCTGTTAATGAATGTAAATAAGTGACTAAAACCATCAGAACGTGGTGAATAACCTATAAAATCGATATGAACATGGGCAAAATGCATATCTGGTTGAGAGAAAACTCTGATAAGTGAACTTGTGTGATAGTTAATCTTTAGTTTTTGATACGCCGAATACTCTCTAACTCATTTGTGTACATCTTTCTGTATCTGGGATTGATCATTTTGACAGTAACTTTCGCGCCAGCATGAGAAAAAGTATTAAGTTATTACCTATTAAACTCCTCATATTTTTGAGGACTAACGGTCGAAACATTACCTTCGTCGTGTCACAGTAAATCAAACTATATTCAGTAGGTGATGGTTGCTATCTTAGTTTGAGACTAGAGTTCTTTTCTGTAAGTAGGTTTGTAATTCTTCATCCTCTTTCTGATTGTCTTTAAGATTTTTGAAATTTACTGTAGATTTGTAGCCGATATAATGCACCTGCCGCCCGACTGTCTTAACATTTGACATGTTGGATATCACTATTGAACTGTGATATATAGTCAAAGTGTCTGGTCTCTCGAGGTGAGTATTTATCGGTACTAGCTTTTAATGTATTGGTTAGTTGTTCATGACCCGTATGAATTATGACCTCTCTGTCTTAAAACATGTGTCCACTTTGCTTAATGGCTAGGTAGATTGAGAAAAGTTCTCGTTCGAAGACAGGATATCTCATCTGTGCTGAATTGAATCTTTTTTAGACTAACGTAATCGGTTTCCAGACTTTTTTGACTGGTTTGTTTATGAATACCGGCCACGGCTTTGTGCAAAGCATCCACAATCAAAGCGAGTGAGGAGTGGGAATACGAATACGTTAACGTAAATACTTGGGCTAGTTTATTCTTTAGCCGTTTAACAGCCTCCGAAGTCGACTCAAATTCCTTTGGTTTTCCTTAAAGGGAATCTGTCAAATGTCGCTCTAATTGTGGACAATTGGGTATGAATCTTCGATAAATGCTGATCAAACCTAGAAAACTTCAAAGTTTTGATACAGAATTCGGCATGGCGTATTGCTTAATAATGTACACCTCTCCTTTGATCAGTCCAATCCTTTCTGAACTTATTGTGTGTCTGAGAAATTCTAAAGTTTTAATAACAAAAATACACTTACTATGATGTATTTTCATTCCATTTTTATTTAGCCGTTTTAACACTGCTCTCATGTGCTATTCGTGTGATCATAAATCCTGACTGTTAATTAACAAATTGTTTACGCACCCCTATGCAAAAGAAATATCCCGAAGTGGGTTATCCATAAATCTTTAAGATGTTTGTGCCGCGCTCCTCGAGCTTAATAGAATGCGTACAAACTCAAACGGTGCAAAACTCCTTGTAATAGCTGTTTTAGGGATAGCTTTCTCAACTACTGGGGTATTGTAATATACCATGATCAAGTCAGTTTCATTAAATATGTTCATACCGTTTGTGAATTCTTGGACTTGAGATATTGTCACCTGTCTGGTGTTGTTTGACGGTTGAGAGATTTGTAATCCCTACACGATCGCCAATCGCCTTCAATTTTCTTCCGGACCATATGCAAAGGAGTCGCACATTGGCTATCAGACCAATAGATAATACCCAGCTGTAGCATGTGATCGAATTCAGCTCTAGTGATCTTAAGCTTATCTGCTGATAATCTCGTGGGTCTAGCAAACATAGATAGGCTTCCAGTTTTGATTTGACACTAACTTTCAGTGATACCAACAGAACTGTCCAGATCGTCTGGACATTTGTGACTTAGATCTCGATCGTTGCGATAACCTACTCCTGTCTCTATTACCCATTTGCATTTCAACGACAGCATCAATAACATTTGTAACACTGACGATGAGTTCTACTATGACCTGGTCTTTTTGATGATCCTTCTGTTTTGCATTATGTATCATACGTAATCCATTTGAGGGCCTCTTTCTGTTGTTCTGTCTTCAATACCTGCTGAGTTAAGTAGAGAGACGTTTGGGTCTTGTGTATCCGAACAGTGTTGGATGTAGGATGGTAGATAGTCAAACCTGTTTCCACTCGACCGCAATCAACTGGTGTTTTCGTTCAACCTGACTTACGATAAAGTACGCATGTGTTCATACGTCGAGACTCACATCGACGACCTGTCGAATCAGCATATGAAGGACCCTTCAAAATACTTCAGCGTTAACCCAAGTGCTATACATTCGATAAGAACGGCACCGATGACGGCATCAGCATCGATCGAATCAAAGCAGTGTATTTAGAATGAAATCCTTAGCACGTCGATATTCCGTCGGTATAATCGAACGACACGGCTACCACACTTCTGGTAGCACATCTGACAGCAAACACGCACGTTGATACTTCGGCAGTATCTAAAATTAAACTTAAAACAACGCGTTTTGGGAGAAGAGTAAGATTTCTGGAACATTTAAAGAACTGTTGCATGTAAGACAACAGTCAACACTGTTGCCTTAACTCGATTTTCCTTTAGATTATATATAATGAAAACATTTGATATAAGTATACTTATATATTTATTCCAAAAAAGCATAAAACAAGGACATGCAAATTTTTTTATTATTATGTGTATATCTAATTTTTTTTCCTTATAAATCGCTTTAACGCTATTGCAGGTGTATGGGTTTATTCACCTTTTCTCGCCCACTTTGTGTCTTTAGGCGCGCATGAGTGTATTTTGACATGCACTTACATATTCTTGTTTTTCTTTTCAAGAACGTCTGGAAAAGATGATAACAAAAGCGATGAAGTTTACGAGAAACCGAAATTTGGATTGCACTTTTTTTCCTTATTACTATGTCGTACTTCATGGACCATTATTGCAATAAAAGACGACCAGACGCTGCTAAACATATCAAGCTATCAGAAGAGTGTTTACCAAGGACAAACTCGTCGTTTTAAACTTCCCGCTGGCCATCCACCAGGATGGGGGAGTGATCTGCAGCAGTAAATAAATCGTCAAAATAAATAGCTCGGTAAGTATTCGACATTGGATGCTCACTACATTTGTTTTAATGGATTCACCTACCTGAAGGCGCTCGGTCATGCATCCACACCAGATCACAAGTGAGAACGCCGTACTCAACTTCTGCGATAAGTAACCAGATTAGACCAATCACTCCTCGATGTTTTGATAATCTATCAAATATATTATTACTATTATCATTCACAATCATCTTATGGGTACATACGTTCTGTGAAGAAACCATTTCGGGTTTCTTCAAAAATGCAATAATACACAATTTTCAATAATGTTAGCCTTACATCTGTCATGTTTGAGAAAGGAAGGAAAAATAAAATATTAATAATATAATAGTAATAATAAATCAGGTTCTGCGTAATTGGCAAGAATTTTGAATTGATTTTGAAGGAGGAAAGGAAGAAACTAAGGAAACAGAAATAAAGGAGTCGCGGAATACGTAAGTATCTTAACGCAGAACAAGAATAAACAACTATGTATGTATAGCAAAAACGAGTAATAAAA